TCAAATTTCATTGTCATTGTTGAAAATATTCATTGTTGTTCCATATTGACAGTTGGTATTTCAAAATTATTTCGCCCGTTACTCACTTTGAAAGCTTTTCAAAATTCTCGTAAAATGGATCAAAGTTTAGTTCTGGAACTCCACCAAACGTTGAAGGACCTCAGCAGCATTGTGAACACTCTGCAAAACTCAACTTATGTGGCGGAAAAATCCGGCGCATCTTCTCCAAGCGATTCCTTTAACAAAACCTACACAGTGCCCTCAAATTCATTTAATTTGAATGCGACCTACACAGTTCCCAAGTCAGGTGCCAACGCGACCTTCGAGGTCGACGCAGGTCCCTCCTGCTCAACCCCCAAGCAAAGCAACTCCACCTTCTATTTTCCACCAAACATCTCCCCTGTGCAGATGAACGATAATTCATTTGGAGCGCAGGGTGCAAAAACTTTTCATCCACAAGTAATATTTAGAAATATGTCATTATCATATGTTAAATTTTTTCAAAATGAAAATTTTCAGGAGAGCTCAAGCGGATACGGTACCAAGAGCAACCAGAACGAAACTTTTGTCCGTTACGCAAACCCAGGCTTTCAAGGAATTCCCACCAACCCTAACATGAGCGTTCCAGTCGCTCCTCGTCAAGCACCTGCCCAGCAAAAACTGAATTTGACCTTCCCAAGACCGGTGCCGCCAAGAGGTGCCCCAAAGTACGATGTCCCTAACAGCATGCCCTTGAAACCCGTACCACCCTACCAGGGGCAAAAATACGCGTCAAACGACATTTACCCTGTGCTGCCGCACGACCTGATCGACCCTGAGCGCACCCAGACGTCGTTCAACCTGAGTCGGATCGGCAACCTTGAGCCTGGGCAGTCGTCGGCCCACGACCTGATCAAGGACAATCCTTTCGACATCGACGATATTGTCCTGGATGACGAAGGACGAATGGTGAAACATTGAATTTTAATTTAAAAAAAAAAACCTCAAAATAACTTTATTATATATTTTAAATTTTTAATCAAACAGAAAATAATTATTTTGTATGGCCTAAAAATATTAAAATCCAATTTTTTTTTTAATTTAAATTTTTTAGATTCCTCAGCCTCCTCGTGGCGCCGAGCCCTTTATCTGCCAAGACTCGATGGAAAAAGGTCCGTTTGCTCCGGTAGTGAGCTATGAGCAGGATGACACCGGGATAAGTGTGACTAAGAAGCGAACCACGGAGATGATCGAGGGCAAGACAAAGGCCAGGGCCATTGAGACCGACACCTGCAAATACACCATCACGGGTCCCGAATCTTCCGTGAACAATCTTACCATCGACCACAGCCAGGTTTTGAGTTTCGACATCGATAAGAGTCTGCAGGAGGGTGACGAGCTCAGGTTTTTATTTCAAGCTTAATTTTTAACATTCCTAAAACTGTGCTTTTTCATTTGCCAAGTTTTGATTCCGACGCGGCGGCGAATTTGAGCATGGAGGCGGCGGAGAGACGCATCACACTCAAGGAAGAGCTGAAGATGCTTTTGGATCCTGGTCAGTGGACCTTGGACGACACCCCCGAGTACAACCCTTTGCTGATAGCCGGCACTTTGCCTCACGTGGACGATGGAAGTGACAGCGAGATGGAATTTGAACCTGAGGAGAGGGACGCGTTCCTGTGGCTGCAACGCAGGCGGGACGAGTTTGGCCAGTTTGAGAAGCTGCTCAGGGACATGGGTTGAAAAAGGGCGGAATCAATAAATTCAACGCAAAATTTAGTCTGAAAAATTAAAATTTCAATTAAAAGATCTCTAAAATTAACACCATTGTCCCATTAATTGCTATCATGTTTTAACAAGAAAATGTATGGCTCCAGCTCAGCAAGCTAAATTAATTTAGAACAACTTTTTTTTTATTGAGTTTTAGTTTCAGTAAGTTGATTACTAAAACTGACTGAAAAATCTCTCAATGTGATTTTTACATATTTTTGACGTCTTGCTGTGAGAGGATAGAATAATGTGAAAGTTGCATATTTTTATTCAAACTGAATATAATTTCCAGGCACATTTAAAATTACCACTTGACAAAAGCTTTGCAAAAATTGAAACTTTTGAGTGAGTTGTCATTCAACAACCCTTTAGAATTGGCGAAACAAAAGTGCTCCAACTAAATTCTCGCGCTCCGTCGGCTCCAAAAGTGGAAAATTCGCACACCCGAGCAAAAAAGGGCGGACGGGCGCGGCCTGAACGAACTCTCGCCATCCATCCATCCAGCATCCCTCTTCTCTGCAAGCACGGTAACGATCGCACGGACCACACCCCTGTTTAGACTGGCGATCCTGCACCCCAAACAACCCCCGGCGCCCACAGACCTTGGCCGTGGAAAAAGGCGGCAAAACTATTATCACAAAAAAGCGGGGTCGGTCTCAGGGTCTGCGCTGGGTCAAAGGTCAGCGAGGCACCGCAAGAGCAGAGCTTTATCGACCGCCCCCGGTCTCACAGGGGTAGTAGTGGGTGGGTGCCGACCCACTTGTTTGTCGCTCGCTGACAAAATGAGAAAAAGAGAGACGGCGAAAAGAGGAGCGCAGACTGTCGCGTGACTCTAATTATTATTATGTTGAGGAAGACGTCTCGGTTTTCGGAAGCTCCGTGCAACATTTTGTTTGTTTTGAAGCGTTGACTTGAAAATCCGCGCAAAAAGAGCTTTCTTTTCACTTTCAACGGCCTTGGCTAACAAGTTTCCTTTTCAAACTTTTGATAGCATTCCGAGTGCAATTCCTTTAGATAAAATCGGCTATTTAAATGAGGATAAATCTTTTAAATGCGGTTTATTAATACAAAATAAAATGAAGAAAAAAATTGTATTAATGTTTTGTAGTGATTTGAATTTAAAATCGGCTTTTCCTCGATGGGTTTTTGTGAGTTGTTTATTGTTTTTTCTTAAACAACAAACAACTCACAAAAACCCATCGAGGAAAAGCCGATTTTAAATTCAAATCACCATGAATCAACCCTCGATTGTGAAATTCTACCACAAAAATGTTTTGTAGTTCCAAAAAGAAGATTATTATAGATTATATAAACTCTTATTCAATAGATCTAAAATGGTATTTTCATCTTAGTTAAAACGTGAAAATGAAATGTTAATATTTTCACTTTTGCCTTGAAAACTCGTTTATTTTGCACCCACCTAAAAGAATCCGATCCGCTCGTCAAATCGCTTTCAACCCACACTTTTCGTGTAACGTTAGCCGCGAAAATCAGGTTTTCGCCTGGAAAGCCCTATTTTTCTCTAATCTATCATTAGAAAGCTCGTTCCGCGTTTTCAATTGTGGGGCGCTCGTTTCGATTTGACGTTTTCTTCTCATGATAAATTATTCTGAGAGCTTTTCATATTGCAAGCGAGCGCAGAGGCGAGAGATCAATTATTTACGAGTGCTGCTGTCCAATCGACCAGAAGCCGAGCTGGGGTTGGTGTTGCGCCGCTTTCGGGAAATAAACGAGAAGAAAAGCAAACACGTGTGCACTCTTTATTACATCGGGCCAGGCGAATTGACAGCCAAACCACAAAGGGCCCAGGCACCTGCTGATGCACTTGCCACCTAATGGAATCGGTAATTAATTTCCTTCCTGTCCAGGAAATGCTAATCCGCTCTGCGATATTGTGATACAATATCTCTATTTGCAATTTCGCCAATATGGATTTGCCATCAAAAAATGATTAGGTCGTCAGAAGTGAGAACGCGAAGGGTCGCTGAAAGAGACATTGCCAAGGCCAAACGAGGACGATCAACTTTTGACACATGTGCTCTTTCAAGCAATGCACCGCCACATTCATCGCCGAGATTGCAACAAAGGGCTTTTCTTTTTTACTAGGAACGATTAACATGACGTAATGTCTGCTGTCAGGAATAATTTTAAAATTTTAATTAGGCTTGCAAATTTGAAGTGCATAAATATGTTTAACAGAATATTTTTTTTAACGATCCTAGAAAGCATTACACAATAATTAATCTTTCTATGTTTGATAAAGATTTAATAGTAGAGAGAGTGCAGTGGACCTGATCTTTATAGTCCAAGACTAAGAAATGTTGCGGTTGGTCGGTCTACATGGATTGCTTTCAATGTATAACATGAATCATTGAAAAACGGTGGGTCAAAAAATTCACGAACAAATTTTTTTTAAACTATATAGAAAAAGTGATAAGTAAGCATGGATAAATTTAATGTTTTATTTTATAGCGTTGCTTTTACTGCATCATTATGATTTTCATAAAATTTAAATAATTTCCATTGCGAACTAAAAATTAGGCTGTTTATTTCTTAACAGACTTCATTGAACTTTCTGCTCTTCAACCCAATATTCTTCAGATTAAATAAAAAAAAGGCGTAGTAAACATTTTGAGGAAATATTTTAGTTTGACAGCAAATAAGCAGCTCATAAAATAATACAAAAATAGAGCATTCAATTAAATTAGAAAATCAATAAGGAAAATGTACAGTTACAGTTACATAAATAAAATTCTTTCTAAAGTAAAAGAATTACCATAAAAATAATTTATATAAAGCTAAAGTTATTCTTAATATTGCTTCTCCTTAAAGTATCCTAACTCAAAACATATATCTCGCCATCAAGTAAGAAAAAACTTTGGTCGTTTCCGCTCACTCCTTTGAATAAAAACGAGCACTTCTATATAAATCCAGCAACTCGTCTTTTGCTTTCCAGATTACAATCGTATTTCATTTCCAAGTGGAAAGAAGAAGTAAAGTGTCCTTGCTGCGAAAACGCCTCCTCGACGCGTTTTATTCCCACGCACAAAAATCCTAGACCGAGCGTTTACAAAGGCAATGCTAAATAAAGTCAGCTCGATTGTAACAAAATTAATGGCCCGTTATGCCTTTCGGAGGGCAGCGCAGACAGCACGGGGTGCGTTAGTTACTTTCGCGCCCCCTCCCCCGACGAAAGAAACAGCCGCCAAACAAAATACAACCCCGAATATCAACAAAAAGTTTGTCCTCACTTTTGGTCCTCGGCGGCGCCGATGGTGGTTGGCGGCGGCGGCAGGTCGTCGGGCCCACCGTCCAGCTCGTCCTGCGGACTCTTGTCGAATTCGGCCATGGGCGCGGACTCGGTCAGCGAGTTCTCCATGTCGGCGGCACTCAACTCTGGACTCCCGAAAGTTGGTCCCTCTCTCTTCGCATCGGCAGCTGCTCGAGCACTGAAAACGGCGCTTCTGCCTGCCGCGGCCGGGCTGCATGGGGGAGGAATCTGCCCGGCCTTCTCCTTCTCAACAGCCGCGCATGACTCGATCATCGGCGCCTACCAAAAGACGTGCACCCTTATTCAAACTAATGCCTGCTTATCGCGGCCTGAGGGTGGAATCGCTTTAATGCAAGCGAATCTGAAGAAACTGCAGGGTGGTTAAATGTTGGCACCCTTGTCTTTCTTTGTATCTTTTAAACAGCGAACAGCGTTTCGTTCTAGCAGAACACCCTCTTAAAATGTATTGCCTAGATTTACGCTCAGTGCAATAATTTTCTTGGTTTGTTTTTCTTAATTTTTTCCCCAATGTCCCTTCTATAATGTTGAAATTCTTACACTTTATTTGTGCTATTTTCTGTTATACAAGTAAAATTTTTACTAGTTCTTTAGTATTTAATTAATAAATCATTCTTGTGCAGAAGTTATATTAAAATAATTAATAAAATGCTCATATTATCCTGGCATTATTTATTTACAAATATATGAAACAATAAGATACAAAGAGGGTGTTCCATTAAAGGATGCGATATTGCTGTAAATATAAAATAAATCAAGTTATTAAAAAAAATATATATTAAAAAAAACATTATAGTTTCATTAATTTATGATTTTCGTGCAATGTAGCTTATTGTATATTTTTACTAAAAAATTCGACTTTACTCTTGGCTTTTTAATTATGGAAATTTATACATTGATCAAATTTAGTTTTAAATATAATTTTATTTAAAGTCCATTATTATAATTATTACAAACTGCATATTACAGTAAAAATTATTCCATAAAAGACCTCTGAGAATGGGAATATTATATAAAAGGCAGCTGACATTTTCACCCCGAAAATGACCGGGTATTAGTCACAGGATAACAATAATTACTTTAGTGCTCGCGCCCTTATTTTCAGTGTCTAAAGAGACAGCACCTGTCAATGCCAGATCGGTTTATTGTTTAACAGGGGTGCAGTTGTAACCAAGACTATGATGCTTTGTTATTTTATTACAACAACTGTCTAGTTTTAATTGTGACTATGAAAAATTTGTTTTACTCCAACACAAAAAGTTTTGAATGTGTTGTAAATAACGGTAAATAATACATTTTTGTGTTCTTGATAAATTAATTATGTTTAGAGGAAAATAAATGTTCAAAATATCGTTAAAAATTTAGTAAAAAAGTAAAAACATTTTGTGTTATAATCAAAATCAAGCTTTTGAAATTATATGTGCATTTATTGCAGTTATAAAAAAAAATTTAATTTATCTTTTTATCTATTAAAAAACTAAGTGTCATTAAAAAAATAATACCAAAATGTTATTCCTATTCTAGTTTGCTAAAATGTGTTTAAGTAAATAATTTTTTACTGTGCGCTCGCAAATAATCCACACGCCTATATATAGTGGAACAAGTGGCAGACGGAGCGCATCAAGTTCTTTTCAAAACGCTCTCATCAGAGGAAACGCGATCTCGGTGTGAAATATTTTTTGCGGTCTTCCGCCTTTAATATTCGGATGTTATAAAATGTGTGCGTGCCGCTCTCGCGCCCACAGCGGCTTAATTAATATTCCCTCTTGTCGCATTTTTGTCAGACCTCCCCTTTCATTATTTTAATGTTTTCGACACGCAGACTCCACCAGCCTCTCATATTGCTAACCTATAGTCATTTTAGCTTAATATTGTAAGTATTAAGAGGGCGGAAATTAATGCTTGCGAGAGCAGCGCTCTATAGCATGACTTTAGCAATACTAAATAAATAATTGACAGGAAAAATTTCTAGCTATGTTCCCACTAGATCAGCTGGAGATTTCTACAGAAATATAAAATATGCATTGATATATATGCTATGAAAATAAATAAATTATCCGATAAATCATTTTTTTTTTTGTACAAACGAGGCTGCCTGCAACTTGCAACTAATAAGGAAAATACATGTAAAATTTATTTTAAAACTTTAAAATAAATCTTTTTTTTCAGCGCGTGATAATTCTGGAATATTTTATGCAATATGTTATTTAATTCACTGAGCATGTATAAGATTTTTCACAGAATAAAACTTTGGGTAATAAGAAACACTATGATATATTTCTACAATTTTTTTTTATTTTCTATTTTGCCATAAATATTTTTCAATTCATTACTTTTTAATTGCTTTGCTAGGAGAACTTCATTCTTTTTTCGAAGTTGTAGAGCGCTCTGGTGTGCTCATGCTTTCTGAGATGTCAAATGAGAGTGGTTCGATCCACGCAGATAAAAATTTAAGATAAATTACCGGGTATCCACTTGTCGACGATCACTTGCAATAATGCGCCGATCAACTTAATGCATAAAAACAAAAAAAATATTTATATTTAAAATTTTTAAACAATAATTAAATCGATTAAAATTACATTATATATGATTTATCTTGACTCAAAATAATTATTTTACTAATAGGATTATAAATTAATTATGGTAGAATTAATATACAGCCAAAGAGCCAAAGCAGAGGTTTTTAATTGTAGATAATATATTAATATCCATTTCAATGCTTCACAAGCGGTACTTTTTGGTTAAATTATAATAAATAAATATGCATAAGCAAGAGCTAGGACACGCTAGGGTCGGATCTCGATCAGAAATCAGGATACCAGGATCAAATCAAAACGATCAAAATACTCAAATACTTGCTCAAATAATACTCTACAATAAGTTCCAAAATTGTACTTGTGCGCCATCTATGTGCAAGCAGAAAAGTAATTTTGACAGCCGGTGGAATCACGTGATTTTCTCGTCTCGAAAGCAAAACAAAAACAGTGCACCGAAACCAAGAAGTATAAAATTTTGTACTTCTTGACCGAAACTCACTGAAACTGGCAGAAAGCAACGGAAAGCAATCTGATTTTTAGCAAGCCTGCTATAAACTCGCGATTTCAGTTATTGGCAAAGTAATTAGAAAATATAATAGATTTTATGCCTCTGCTGCAACGATATATTCCAGTTTAATTGATACAAGCCTGGTACAAGTACAGTCCGATTTGATTTTTTCCCTTTTTTTTGCCATGTTTCTAAATTCCCCGTGATATTTGGATACAAAAATGCAGAGCAAAGAGACTCAACTATTTGGTAAGCAAAGCTTATTGATTATAATGACTATACACATTGAAAATCTTTAATGCATTTTACTAATTAAGGTTGAATTTGTATTAGGCGTTCTGCGGACGCTGGTTGAAAAATTAAATGATAAGGACGAGATGGTGCGAACCAACGTTTCTCTCTGCTTACGAAACATTGCTAAAAATAAGCCTGATGAGGTCCTGCAGACGATTTGCACCTTCAAGAAAAGCATGCCGAAAGTAAAATTTTACGATGATTTTCAAACTTAATATATATATTATCAAAATTTATTAACCAATTTTTTATTAATTTTTATTTTAACTGTAAATTATTTAATTTAGTGGATGTTCTATTATTTTCAGATGCCAACGAGTGAGGTGGCTCAGCTTTTATCTTTGGCCGAAACAATCTGTCGTTCCCTGAATATCGACCAAGTTGATTCCGACACAACGCTCGTTGCTTTGGTTGACCTGGCTGTGCAAGAAATGACACATTCCAACGAGCTCATTCCAGAATGGCAGCTTCCTGCCTCCCAACTTCTGGTGGCCATTGGCAGAAATTTTTGCAATAGAGTAAAAAATGTTTTATAAGTTTTACATAAAGTTAATATTTTTATTCGAATTGCTAAGGTTATGGAAGGATTAGTTGAGAAGGTGCAGCCTGGCGTTGCCCTGCATTATTTTGTCACTCACACCCTGGGTTCGTTGGCTGCTGCAAATCCTCTGGCCATGGTTCCGTACATAAAACAATGTCTCACAACTCAGCTGCCACAAATGGGAGGTCTTCGAAGTGACCACTTACGACAAGCCTTTGCCTACTGTATAAAGGAAAAAGTTCACTTCCAACATTTTATTGCAATATCTTGCATTTTTATCTAGGTTTGGCAAGATTCGCAGACGCCATTTCGGACTACCTGGCCAACATTGACAGAGTCTCCGACCGAACTATTACAAAAGAAACATTCAGCACTGAAATGGACCTGGCATTTACCACAATTGCAAATTATTGGCTGCCGGAAGCCAGAGAACCTCAGGTTTGGAGTGGAAATCTACCTAAAATTTTGCCAAACTAAATCGAAACAAATTTTTCAGATGAGAGACCAAATTCTGCACGCAATCAGCTCGATTTTGCTTCTCCTACCACCCGGAAGGGTGGAGGCAACAGCACCAGGCCTTTTGGTCAGCTTGCTAAGTTTGAGGAAAAAGAAAATTCCACTGCCTGTAGGAGCGACCAGATGCTTAGAAGCCATCATCTCGCACCCCGAGGTCAAGGCATGGCCGCCCATTGACCAAATTGTGGCCGCTCTGACCGAACTCGTGATGGATGCGCCTGATCTGGAGCAACCTCTCACTATTAAAAGCCATTATGAGGCTCTTCGATGCTTCCACACAATTGGCAAATTTTATTTTTCTCCATTTTATGCAAAATTTATTTACTTTAATATTTTCTTGCAGACAGACATTTTCCGGATAAATTGTCTACTTTTCTATCACAACACATAAAAGGTGGCAATGAGAAGGACAAAGCAACATCATTGGTTATTCTTTCGCACTTGGCCAGTGCTGGGCATGTGTCTCACCTAAGCACTCTCATCACTGCAGTTGGTTCTCTACTTGATGATCCTAGTCTTAAAGTGAGTGCGAAAATTGGATTCTTTTGTAAAAAATTTTGTTTTTAATAAAAATAAAATATTTCACTTATTTTTTGCAGGTAAAACGAGCCGTTGTGAAAGTAATTGTGGTTTTGGCTCACAAGGAAGTGATCCATGGCAACGAAGGCAGCAGAGCTCTGCAATTCATCGTCAGCAACTGTCAGCACCCAGGCACTTCTGACGAAAGTGCAGAGTTGCGCCAGACATGTCGAGACTCTCTGGTTCTCATCTGCACCACTGCTCCTCATGTGGCTCCCGTGCTGGCCCCTATTCTTCTAAGGTGCTTCTTGCTGCCTGAGTACAACAACCTGGCTGGATTTCTAGCCAGGTGTCTTGCTCTTGTGCACGCCAAGGAGCCTCTCGACAAGCCGAAACTGCCAGAAGTACTTGCAAAATGTATCATACTCATAGGGGCACCTTTTCCTGAGGTTGGAATTTACACATTAAACCTGATGAAAGCTCTGTCTTCCTGCTTTGAAGGAGAGTTTTCTGCGCTTCTGGACTGCGGCTCTAGCAAACTTATCGAGGAATTGCAGGGTGAGAATCAAACCAAATTTCATTTTTAATAAAATTTTCTGCTATTAATATATTTATATAATTTACTGTGAAGTGCCAACTGATTGATTTTAATTATTCCTTAATAAATTCAGATTCAGAATGGAGCGAAAGTCTTTGGGAAAAGTCACTTATAAATTTTATGAAGTCTTTGGTGAAAGCTGTGACGGACTCTGCTTGGTTAGCAGAGTTTTCCGACGCCTTGACCAAAATTGGTCAACAAGACCTGCCTCCTGAAAATAGGAACGCACAGCTCTCTTGCTTAGTCAGTATTTCTGTGTATAAAAAAGATGCAATGGTGGCAAGCACCTTGATTCAAGAGGCTCTCTCTGCATCTAAACAAGCTGACTGTGAAAAGGTTAAAACCTTATCTCTTTATTTTATTTCAAAACTAACGAACGTTTTAATATAGGTTTGTTCTTCGGCACTTGGCAGATGTGCAGGAATGGACGGAGAAGGACATTTGCAACTGACATTGGCGCAATTGAAAATAGCTGCCAAGGATTTGCCGAATCCCAATATGAGTATGGCCTCAAAGTACATGCCTTCATTTTTTTCCAGCATCACGGGCAGTGACAAATCAAGGTACCCAATATAAACATTTATACATGTGTCATTGTAGTTTTTCATTCATTTTTCAAAAATGATTTTTGTTTAGGAAAACTGACCAGATTGTTAAGGCTGATAGACTTCGTGCAACTTTGCTGCTAAGCTATGGAGAAATTGCTGCGAGAATTCCAGGTTCGGTTGCTCTTTTGGAGAGCACAAATGTTCTTGAGTGGATGCTTGATCAAATTTCTCAAACTAAGGTTGAATAAATTTAAATAATCTAGGAATTCATTAAAAATATTATAAATAGGATCAACTTGTGCTGGAGAGTGGTTTGGTTGCTCTGCATAAAATTGCTGAGAGTTGCTCTGGACTTGGATGCAGAGATGAAGCTCTTGAAGTTGTCATGACCCAACTGAAAACTGGTGGTGTTATTTCATTAAAGTGTGTGGCTCCTCTTGTGTAAGAATTTTGTTCATGAATAGGTGTCTTAAGAATATAGCTACGTTTATCCTTTTATTATTTAGGAAACTACCACCTGCTTTGAGTCTTGACGTTCGCATTGCAAATATGAAGAAAATATTTGGCTACGTTATTGACGAAAATCCTGAGGATGCAGCTTTAAGCTTGGCCCTCTTGAACGTCCCTACAACATTTCTCTTAAGTGCGGGAGTCAATCCAGGATCGTTGGATGAGTTCATCACTCTATTAGAACCATTTATTAAAAGCCCTACCCCTTCAAAACGAACAACAGCCACCTGCGTTTTAGAGAAAGTTTTGCACACCTATGCCGATAATCTAGCTCCAGGACTTGAAGTAATTTTATTGTGATATAAATTGTGAGGCAATATAACAAAAATATCTTTACAGTGTCCAAGCTCCTTGTGCTTTGCAGCGTCCTTGGTGGCTCTCTGTATTCCACGTTGTACCGATATAAATGGTGTGTGCAGGAGAAGCGGAGTCGAGTGCATCAGACTGGTGCTTGAAATAAATTCATTTTACTTAGGTGAAAGTCAGAGAGATGTTTGCAAGAAACTGAAAAAGGAAATCAGCCAAGAGTTTTTGGGGAAGATTTCCAATGAAAATGATCCTGACACTCTCTACCAATGCTCTTGTTTTATTTCTGAGGTATTCGATTCGTTTTTTAAAATAAAAAATATATAATTCAAAAATATTTTTAACTTTCAGTTAATTCTTCGTTACTTGGGAAATACGCAAATTGTAGCTTTGGTTGATTCAGTTATGTTATCTCTGACTGACCCTGAAGTTGGTGGCTCTGCTGGTGTTACTGTGGTCCTCACTGCACTTTTGAAGGAAAAGGGTCAAGATTTGTATTACCAAGTTCCAAATATTATAAGTAAGTTGTCATTTCTAAAACTTTGCTGAGAATACACTTCAATGTTATTTCCCATAGATTTGTATTTGAAGATTGTACCCCAGCTGAATTTTGATAGTGTGAAAACTGGAGCTGTGGTGAGCATGGGAAGTTTAGCCCGTCATCACCCGAAGGCAGTCATCACTGCTCTTCTAAATCAACCTTTGCCTTTTACGGAGTAATTCATAAAAGAAAGATTTCTTATGCTTTTCTAACTCATGTGTGAATATTGCAGGGCATGTTTAAGTTTGTGGCGCTGGATATCGAAAGAGGAGGGTTTAGCTAACGAAGTTTGCTCTAACATTCTCTGCTTGCTGGCTTCCAATCCACTTCTGGAAGAGCCCAGAGATGATCGTTCCCCCAGAGTTGCTAGAGCCGTCCCATTAGCGGTACAAACTTTATTATAAGCATTTTAGCACCACTTAATAACAATGAAAATTTATTTTCCTGATTTTAGGCTGTTAATGGGCTTTGTGTTATGCTCAGCACCGAGAGCAACGTAGTTCATGAACTTTCCAGATCTGCCCTGCCAGAACTACTTAGCGCTCTTCTGATAGCTCTGGCTGCTTACGTTGGAGCTTGCCCACCCGTAAACATTGCAAGGAAGGGAAGCAAAACCAGGAGCATGTCATTTGTTCCAAACAGAGATGCCTATGGTATGGTGCCTGGAAGGTTCGTACTCTAACCATGAAAATATATATTATTTTTGCCTTCTGATTGATGATATTTTAGGGTGGCTTTGGATGCCTGCCATGCTCTATTAAATGCTTGCGGATTCTCCGAATTGACCGACACGCTTGCTTTGTGTCGAGTCGATATAGGGGAGAGCCTGGACTCTTTTATGGTAACAACCCAAAATCTTATTAGGTATTCTTATTCCTCGGTACTTTTTATTTCAATTTTAATATGGAAACATTACATCTAGGACCATTATTGAGGCGCGAAGCAACATTGTAACCCAATTAGTTTCTGTGATAAACCAAAATGCAACTAGTCCCGAAGAGTCAACCCGAATCACTGTTGTTGCAGTTTTGTCAGAAGTAAAAAATTAATTTTCAAGTGCAGGATTATTCTACAAAATGCTATTTATTTTTAAAGGTAATAAAATGGCCAGGATGTAATGCTGTTTTGCTGGAAGGACTTGTGCAGCAGCTAACCGCTTCATTAGATGACGAAAACCCCTCAGTCAGACAACTCTGCCTCCAAGGATTGTCCCACATAGCAAATATTGCTGCTCCATTGGTAGGTTTTCCAGAGTTAATTGATAAAAGAACTGCGGTAGTTAAATATTTTTTTCAGCGAGAAAGATATGTTTTCTCTGTGTTGGTTGCTCTCCTGCAAGGCCTAGAGGAGACGCCAGGGGAAGGTAAAGCTGCAGGCCTGGCCACAGAGGCTCTATTTGGTTTGGCAGCCGTTTTGCCTCACGTGGCCAAAAAGCAAGTTGGCGAAATGCAGTCGTCGTTGATGTTCAGGGTCACTCCTTTTCTGACAAAAGAGTCGGTGTCAGTCAGGGTAGCCGCTTTCAGGGTATTCGTGCAGTTGATTTTATGTGGAGAGTCTTTTGGAGGAGACGCCTTTCTGGAGCAGATGCCAAATGTTCTCATAAACTTACTAATTGGTATAAGTGACACTGACTCAAGAATTGTGCAGGTTTGTTAAATTATCATTTTTGTCAAAAAATTTCTGATTGTTTTTAAATTAACAGGATTGCTACTCTGGCATTCAAGGGTTGGGAAGAGTTCTCACCGAAGAAAAATTTACACAGGCCATCAAAAAACTAGATTCGGAGTTGTCATACGAGAAGAGCTTTAAAATTCTAATACCTAGTCTTGCCGAAGCATATCCGGATTTGATGTTAATACTTTTAAAAAATGCTTGCGGCTTCACTAAAAGTGAAAGAGCCCAGACAAGGGCCTGCGCAACATCTCTCATAGGCCGACTTTGCAACTTTGGGGACAACAGCTCTTTCGAAATGGTGTCTAACAAGTTAACTAAACTTCTGAATGACCCTTGTGCTCAAGTAAGGGCTACTGCAGCCCAGTCACTATCAAACTTGTACATGTTCTAGTCAAAATTGCTCGTCTTACCAGCTTTTATAAATTATTTGTCTATTGTTTAAATGGACAGGTTTCAAATATAACTGCTTAATAATTATTGTTATTAAATATTGTGGAATTTATATTAACTTTTTAGTTACATGGAAAATTATAAATGTATACAACCCTTACAAAAATACAAGTTAATTCTAAAAGTGGCATTGTTCTTGATATTATGGAAGTCCTTTACACTAAATCACATTAAGTCACCACCAAAAAAGCTCTCTTCCTCTTGGATTCTCCTTTCCTCCTCCTGTCTCTGCTTCAACCTTTCCAATTTTCGGGCCTCTGCAATCATCCTGTTGCGAATCATTCGTTCTCTCTGCTCGTCAGTGATTTCCTACAATAAATAATAATTAAATAATTTTATTAAATAAAAATAAATTAATGTACTGATGGAGCAGGAGCTGGAGGAGGGGAAGGTGCCAATGGAGGAGAATCGGCCCGGGTTTGAGCCATCAGGGTGCTGAAACTTGGCTCTTCCTCTTCTCTGTCCTCAACATAGTCGTTGCCTCTGATTGTTGTGTCATGCACATCTTCTACGCTTATCATTCCCATTCGAATTTTCTTCATTTCAACCTGGCCAAGAAAAAAACACATTAACATAACTTTAGAGACATATAAAGATCAGAACATACCATAACATTTTTCTTTGAGCCTAGTTTTTCCAATTTCTCAAGACAGTCGTCAAAAGTGTAGCTGGGAAAGAGCCTATGAGCCCAGTGTTGCATTTTGCTCATGACGAGATCCAGATCATCAAACTCGTGTCCTCTACCTTTGAGTTTTACACCTTTCATTTCTGCCTCTAGAGCAAGAAGTCCCCTTGGGCCCATTAAGCGTTGAGGGTCAAGCTTTGGTCGCGGGGCCAACACTCTCTTTTTCTTGCCATCATCTTCCTTTTCATCTAGAAAAATTAAAAATTATTAAACTTTTAATTTTTAAATACATACACTATATAAATGAATGTGTTCTTTTAAGAGAAAATAATTATATTATTCAAACCTTTCTTTTCCTTTTTCTTTGCGGTGGGTGCCTCTTGAGCTTCATCATCGCTTCCTGCCGGCCGCTGATCTTCGTCGTCCTCAAGAGCGTCACCCTGACGCTCGATAATCATTTCCAAATCTTCTTCATCATCTTCAATGTAATTTGCCTCTGTATCCATCTCAAGTCGCAAATATTTATTGTCAAAACCAAGTAGAAAACTAAAACTATTTCTGCCAGTCTGACCGCAGATTCCACAGCTGAGGCAAGTAGACTGTCCCGCCAAATGCCACCACGTGACCGAAACTACTGTCGCCCATTGGCTGTTCAAAAGTGTCCAACTTACATAAAATCAGTAAACAATGCCACACCCCCTTAAGCTCTCTATCACATAAGAGTTATTTACAATTAGATGTTTTGAATGATTTCACGTCGCAAAATCGTCGGCTGACTGGTCCGGGGACTGCGGTTGGTTGTTGTTGGTCGACGAAAAACGCTGCATCAGGTCGTCGTTCGAGTTCATCCGCTCCAGCAGCGAAGACAACAACCTCCTGTTGAGGCGATCTGTCTGCGTGAGTTCTCGTACTTGCTCCTGGTCTTGGTCGCCGTTCACTTCACCGTTCGGTTGTTCTGGTTCCTTCTCAGGTGTCTCGGCCTGTTTTTCCGCCTTTTCTTCCGGTTTTCCAGGCATTTTCAGTTAACTCTGAGCGATAGTTTTAAGGGGAAAAACAAGACACTCCTGTTTCCTGGTTTGCTATCAATTGCGCATTATCACATCAGCACGTGGTCCGACCCCTGATTGGTTGGAGAGCGTGGAGGGGCAGATTTTAGAAGGAAAGAGCGGGACGTATGTACTCTATCTATAATCGCACGAATTTTATACGTAATTAAAAAAATTGATAAATTTTTTTATTTTGATTTTATATGCAATTAAAAAAATTTAATATGAACCTAAAAAATTCAGCTGGCGTGTAAAATAAAAAATCAACGGATAACTCCAAACTAATTTTTCTTATACATATCGTCGTTATCAGTGATCAGTCAATTAACTTACTGATAAAACTTAAAGTATGTTTACTGCTCTTATTCCTATTAAAAACTCATGGTTGATAAACATATTCTGTTTGTGAGAAGTAAAAAATTATCTCATTCTAGGTTCAAGGTCTACCGAGGGCAAACTGAGAACGAACAAAAATATTCCCTAAGAGGTAGCATTGACACTTAATTGTTGGCGCAACCGCAACCCGTATTAATATTAAATAAGGACGTCCTCCTTACTTTTGTGCGGTCCGAAAAATCCCCTGTTGCAACCCTTGGCCCCTATCCTATTGATTTAAATTCTCTTCATAGAGGCAACTGTGAGGAGGGCGTCAAGTGCCCTAGCTAATAAGCAGTGTGTCAATAATATAATACATATTGCTGTCTGCGGAACACGCAGTTTAAAACTAGCTTAGCTGCAGCAAACAAGGCGCTTTGGAAGTCTCATTCTAAATATTATTTTCAGAACAGAAATGGCGGAAGTGCTGCAACCTGGACAACAGATCCGGCCGGTTATAAGCGTTCCTGAGGCTACGAGCTTGGTTGAGAAGATTTATGGTGTGCAAGTCGACAACATTAAAGAACTCGACGCTTATGATGACAAGAACTACCATATTATTGTAAGCACACATGGAGAGCCGCAATTAACTTAATTATCAAAATTTATTAAAGGTTAAAAGTCAGCCTTCAAATGAAAGTCTGAAATCTGTCTGGCCACATGGATATGTTTTCAAAATTCTTAACTCCATGGATTCTAAAAAAGTGTCTTACGTGGATGCTCAAAACCAAATGATGCTCCATTTAAGTAAGTTGATAATGTAAAAATCAATTTAACTGCATTGCATTCATATATAATTTAAAATTGCCAGCTAAAAATGGTATAAGGTGCACTCAGCCTCTACCGAACAAAGGCGGCGACCTTTTTTCTATTGAAGAAATTAACGGCAGCCGGCATATAATTCGTCTCCTGCAATTTGAGCCTGGTCAAATTTTGTACAACGTCCCGGTCAACCCTGAACTTTGCAGCCAGACTGGCATTTTCTTGGCTCAAATTAACACAGCGCTTGAAGATTTCCAACACCCTGCTTATGATGATCATTCCACAATTTGGGCTCTGGATTCCGTGCCCAAACTGACCAATTTTCTCTTTGCCGTCACCGATGAGGGCCAGAAAAATTTAGCCGGTTTAGTCATTGCTGCTTTTGTGGAAAGGGTTGTGCCCTTGATTGGGCAGTTACCTAAAGGTACATCAGTCTAAAATATTTGATATCACATTTTCAATAAAAAAACAAAAAAAAAAAACAGGAATGATTCATGGCGACTTCAACGAGCACAACATTCTCGTCCGCCAGTTTTCAGAACAGTGGGTGTCAGACGGAGTTCTTGATTTTGGCGACACCCAGGTCAACTGCTACCTTTTTGAGGTTGCCTTGGCTGCTTGCTACATGATGTTGATGGCTAAAGAAAAACTGACACCCCTACAAGCAGGGACTCTTGTGGTTGCGGGCTATCACAAGCTCCGTCCTTTGAGTTCTAAAGAACTCTGCCTTATGAGGGTAAAATAATTTGAATTCCAATTAAAATTTATCTAATAGTGTTATCAGGTTTGTATTTGTGCTCGACTCTGCCAAAGCTTGGTGCTTGGTCTGTACTCGCACTCTCAGGACCCATCCAACACATACGTTTTGCAGACTGCACAGTCTGGGTCTGGTTGGACCATCCTTGAGAACACATGGAAATTGTCTGACGAGGAATTTTCTAAAGCTCTCCTTCAAGCAATTGACAACTTGAAGAAATAACGTCACAGCAATATTTGGAAAGCAATTATGACAATATAAATTTACATATGTAATAGTCTACATAAAATTGTTATGATATGTTCATAATTAAATTAGAAAATTTTGCATTTAAAAATCTAGCATTATCTGATTTAATATCAACACTGGACTGGAAACACTCATTTATAAATCCAAACCTTTAGTTATCACATAAACAATAAAAGTAGCAAACAATTAAGTCATATAAATCTCTAAGCCAACTTAAATTGTGGCCGTCTTTGGTAACACAGGGCTAGGAAGTCAAAGGTCGTAAAAGAGGGCTGCTAAAGGGTACCTTATGGCAAAGGCAACCAGTGTTCCAACTACTTGCACCATCATTAGAATCTTGGTAAGCGCCTCTTCGTGAGTTGGACCACGCCAGTATAACAGCAGATTGATCAGGGTCAGGTTGTTGACCTCGACGTCTCCTTCATCACCCTCCTTGACATAGGCAAGTCGGAAGAGACTAAACAGCCGGAGGCACAGTCGCCCGAGAGGATGGATTTCTCCTTTTTTTGCTGTGGCTTTACTCATTTCAAGTAATCCCGTTGATGTATTAAGTCTAAAGCATTTAATTAAAAATTATTATTTAATTCAATCTAAATAGCAGAAAATAAAATTAATTTTCAGATTTTTTTTTTTTAAATTTTAGTGAATGGTTTTTAAATACTTTGGCTTACCTAGGCATTCTGTGCCTTGGGCAGGGCACAAGACGGAAGAGCTGAGGCACAGAGTAGATGAAGTTAAAAACTTGTGGAATGAAAAACAACAGCATGGTTTTGCTGAAGTGGCTGAGAATCCCCACGACTGCAAAAGTCATTCCGGAAAAGTAGCAAAAAGTATCACCCACAAATACCTGGCTCGGGTACCTAGAGCAATAATTTATCATTTACTGGTAACAATTGGTTTATCTTACAAAATTACCAATTGAACTTTAGCAAAGCTAGTGACGTGGCTAAGTAGGGCAGGATGAAGAAAAGGGAAAATTCGTGATTGTCCCGCAGCGGACCACGCAGCTCTAGCAAGTTGAAGATAGCAATGGATGCAGCAATCACTACGGACTGACCAACCTCAAGGCCATTGATGCCAGCCAGGATGTTGATGGCATTAGTGCAGAAAACAGCAAGCATACCCATGTAAATATAGTATAGGAAACCTGCAAAATTATTTTATTTTAGAATTTCAAATATCAATTTAAAATAACACTAGAAATAATAAATAATCAGATTATCATGTTTTTTTTTTCAAAACAGACCAACATTAACTGCATAACCAAGCCAGTGCCTTAGGGGAAGAGGGACGACAACGGTTGTCGAGTTGTAATTAACGTAGTAAACCATCAATAGGGGAAGAGAGGCAATTGTGGGCAGCAGCAATTTGTGTCTCCACCGAAGGTCAAGGACGTCGTCTGCAAATCCTAGCAACAGCATGCAGCAGATGGACAAGAGGGCTGCTACAAATTCTACAAACTGAGTTTTTAAGTTAGCAAAATCAAGTGTTTATTAATTTATTGCGCAATTTTACCTGATCGTGTGGAAATTTTTCGTCGTCCAAAATGTAGCCCCAGAAAGGCACAGGTATGAAGAGGAAAAGAGCAACTAGGAAGGAACATCCTGTAGCTACCCCCAGAGCTTCAGGGCTAGAAGAAATAGATATTTGTTACTCTTTAAAAATAAAATATTAGCTATAAAATGTTCATTACACTTTGTGTTTTTCCTTCTTGTTCATATCGATGCCAAAAAGATTGGCCTTGAGGAACATGTCCTTGAGGGTCGGGATGAGTCGGACGGTGGCCACGTAGGCGCACACGCTCATCAGGACGTTTATGAACAGGGCAGTGCTCATTTTCCCTCAAATCCGACTAAAATAATTTTTCCTAGATAAAGATGGCAAGAGACGATCACTCCATTTTTTATAAAACGTTGCCTCTCCCAGGCGCCGGCGTTCGCATGCAGCAGTCTCAGTCCATAAACGAGAAAGAAAATATTCTATTCAGCAAAAATCTTAACCTTTTTAACAACTCGAAAACGTTCGCCGGTCGAAAGTCAAAAGGCAAAAACGTCGTCACCACAAAACGCTTGTGTTGTGATCTGTAGTGAACGCCCCCTTTTCTCTCTCATCTCATTGGTCGATCCAGTTAGTTCCTTTAATCAGCGCCACGATAAGAAAGCGCTCAACACTGAACTGGCGCTGAAAAGCACAATGTTGAGCTCTATCTTAAGCTCCATCTCTTTGTTGGCAACCAAATTTTATTTTCGCACAATACCCAACTGTTATAATATCACTCACTCACATGTGCAAAATAAATAATAAAAAAAAGTTAGATGCATTATTTAACAGAAATAAAATATCTGGGTATGTATGTGATATGGGCAAGAATAAGAAAATTTGGAAAATTTACATTAATTGTGATTGATGTGGTTCCAATGATACTGGAAATGGTAAACCACATAACATAAAGGGAAGTTTCCGTTTTTGTAGTTTTATTCTAAAATATTTTTCATATTGTAAACAACCAACACTTCTGCGTAGCAACAAAGCAAGAACAACCACACAAACATGCTGGGGGCTAAAAATATTTATTTTTTAAGTCTGCTACTTGCTTTAACTATTTTCATTATAAAGGCAACGCTATCACAATGTAAGTTTTTAACATTTTAATAATTTTAAAAATTAAAAAAAAATTTGTCCTAGATAATAGAGGCATTTAATAAAATTATATATTTATGTATTTTATATTTTTCAGTGAATTTGTAATGATTATATCAGTAAAATTAATTTCATTAATATTAAAAACCACAACTCAAATTAATGTTATATTAAATTATATAATTATATTTTTGTTGTTGTAATTATTCAAATATTCTTAAAGGTTTCCCAATCGTGGAAGACAAAAGGCTCTTCAAGTTTTCAAATGATGACAATTCAGACAATTTTCCACCTGACGAATCATACTTATTAAAAGACACCTGGAACCAAGAAAATAACGAAAACGTTGACACTGATAAATTTGACACATTCAATCAACTGAATTTCAACGGGCAGTTTAACACAAATCGTGGTAAAATAAAACCTGCAGATCCAGTTTTAACAATGGGTGCCACGCAGGTGACGGAATGGTACCTGGATGGATTGGTCTTGACCTTCTTGTTTGTAATTGTCGCTGCTGCAATAGCTATTGCAGTATTTGTCGTTTCAATGATTCAAGGCTATTGCTGCATGCAAAATAAATAGATAATGTTTCTCTGATGTTTATAAAAATTCAAAGATTTCCAAAAAAAAATTATTCATTATTATTTAAATTATCCGTATTTCTTCTCACTTCGCAAACAAAACTTTTTTTATAACTTTGAACATATAAATTTTTGTGTGGAAAGTTTTAATTAATTATACGAAGTGAAATTTGAAACAGGGAAGAAAGTGAAATCCAGCTATTAGGAATGTATGTTTTAATGCTATAAAGCCAAAAAGCCTTTTAAAATTAAAATGTCACCAACTTGGCATTTGTTGATTAAGAAAAACCACAAAATGCATCCTGCGTGACGCGCCTTTTACCACTCTAAAGTCAAAACTGACCAGTTATGCTGGCTCAGTTTAGTACATTGTGACTCTTGTAGAGTTCTTAATTTTAATTTTACGCCAGCCATGAAATCTTACTTGCGCATAGTTCTGGTTGCTATCATAGCTCTGCATTGGGTGGACAGCCGAGATAATTCCCGAATAACAACAAGTAAGCTGAATTAAAATTCTTAATTTAATTTTCTTACATATTAAAAGCTATAAAAAACGCGTTCTTAAAATTTAATTGATTATTCTCGCTGTAGCAAACTTCAGCAACGTACGTGGTCTTGAAGAGTGTCCTTTCAGCAATGAAATCCCTTGTCCAGCGGGGCTTACCAATTGGTCTTGCTTCTGTAAAACTCTTGAGCCAGAAAAGGGACGATTAATTTTTAGAAACTGCAATGGCGGAGAAACTAAATCTTGCCCGCCGCCAATAAATCCTGGTACTTTTATTTTCATTTTAACATTATACCTTTTTTTGGTCAATTTAAGTCGAGAAGTAAAATTTTTAATTATCTAAGTGTTCCCAGGCAGCGCAACTCAACCATCTAGAGAGTCAAAAATTCAAAGTTCAGGGTCCCATAATCGTCCTCCTTCAAACTTTCCTCCCCAGGGTGGAGCAAACAACGGAGACGACCATTTCAACAACAATAATTGGAACGGAAATAGCAATTTAAACAACAATTGGGACAATGGCAATCCAGAAACATTTCCCGGCACCGACAACCGTCCTTTCAGCGGCGGCCATCAAGGAGGAGGCCACTTCAACCCTTCGTTGCCGCAGATCGGCAAAAGCACCACTCCGCCGCCAAGAGTGAAACTTCCGGCTAGCTCGTGCCCCAAACCTGTTGGTCTGATCGTGGGGCTGATTTTCCTTGGCGTGATTGCACTGGCGTTGCTCGTAGCCTTGCTGGTGGTGGTTCGGAAATACAAGCAAGCGCTTCAGCAGGTCATCCAGATGAACGAGCTCTACTCAGTCATGGGCTTGGACAAAAGCAAGACGCTCCCGCAAGCAGACAAAGTCATAAGCTTGAGTAAAAACGGCAAAAAGTGAAATTTGAAATGATGACTAATGTTGTTTTACAGGGAAAATAAAATCACGCCCATTGTGAGATAAAGGAAGAAAAACAGTAAAATCAGGAAAAAAAAATTTAATATATATTTTTAAGTAGTTTCTGAATGATAATCATTTATAAATATTTTAAAGAAAAATTTAAGAAATATTTTAATCTTTAAAAATTTAATATGCAACTAAAAATAATTTTAACAAGAAAACTACATCAATTGCTATTCTTTTAATATTAATTGAGAATCGTAATAATTTTATTTTTAAAGGTAATCAGAGTATGAAAATTCGGAAAATTTCAAAATTGGATTTTCTCAATTACTGTATAATATGAAATTTCTTCCGTATTTTACAGAAGTCCATAAAATATAAAATTTTGGTATACCTAGTTTGTTTTATTTTTAATAAATAAATAATACGATGATATGAAATCATGTTCACCTATTTTATTTCTATTTTTTTTTTTTAATTTAATGAACATGTCATTAGACAGAGTGAGTAAGTCAGTCACTGCTGCACTCATTAATGAACAGGGGGATGAGGTGCGCGCGCGCCCTAGTACTACGCAGCCGACTGCTGGCAGGCAACCTGAGCAGCACTCGTGTTGCGCGTGCTGCTCATTATTGATTTTCCAGGGGCGCTCAGAGTTGTGAGATGAGGCGGCTGGCAAGCTCGACAGGAAAATCGCGCGAACGATTCCGATTATTTAAACCAGGGCTCTGATAATTTATTTCTTTTATTTATCACAATTAAATTTAATCAGCAATTCCTGGCAACGTTCAAAATGATTTCTTGACCCACAAATTCGGTTTAAAATTAATAATATCAAAATATTGTGAAATGAGAATAATTTCATTGAAAATTGCGGGGAGAAATTGGGATGGGGGATCGATTGACGGTGCAGTTCGCCTCCCCCGGCGGAGGGTGAAAGATGCAGTAGCTGGACAACGACACGCAAAACAGGAGACGGTTCGCAGGAAGCTTTCGCGGGACGATGTGAGGTTGCACCGAGACGCAGACAGGGTGCTGAAGGAGAATGTGAAGGTCGGGTAGCGGACCCTGAGGTCGCACGCACGCACCCTGCTGCACACGACAGCAACTCTCGTCCACCGCGTGAGTTAATTTTTGCGCCGATTTCACAGCATGGGTTTTGCAACAGTTTGTATGTTTTATTGCAGCAGTCTGAATTGAAATATGCCTGCCGATGACTACTCATCAGCCATCACCATTGTTTGTTCCATCACTAATGCGGCCGCTGATCATCTACAAGAACCTGCGGCCCACCAGAGCCAAGCTGGCCCTGGCCGTCTTCGTCCTGTCCGTCGTGTCGTTGGTCCTGGCGCTGCACACACTCTGCACCGCAAAAACGCAAGTGAGTCACGGCACACTTTTTAAACTGGGTCACGGGGAGAAAGCACGCGTCAAGCGGAAAATACGTCTCGGAATAGTCACCAGAGGCGGAATTAATTTGGTTTTTCCTGCGCAGCAATAACGAATATTACAACTTGTTTTCTTAGAAAATTTGTCACTGGAGAAATTAAAATTTTCATCACAATCGTCTGATTTGAAATTCAAATTCAAAATTATTGAACTGAAAAGACTATAGTGAAATTATAACAAACTATGAAATTAACAATCCATGAAACTGCTGGATTTTACTAAAATTAGACTCATTTTTAACCAATTTTTAAATGCAAAAGTTTCTTCTCAAATTCAATAATTTTATCATTTTTCAGATGAATCTATTTTTAAACGTTTTATACTGAAAAACTTCCAACATATTTCACTTATTTAGATTGATAGAAATCTAATTAAAAAATTCTTCAATAGAAAATTGATCTACTTCTCAGAAACTTATAAAGAGCCCTTGAGTTAGGCAACCTGCGTGACAAACACGTCAAGCCGGTTGCGTAAATAGGAACTCGCGGCGTCACGCTTTTGCAATTTATTATTCAAAAGCGGCAACGACCGATCGATGCTTTTTCAATCATTTTGCGTGCAGGTTTTCATTTACTCGTCGGAAACATCGATCTACCTGAACTCGGATAAGTCTCTGATACGGACGTCGCTCGAGCAGCACGAGCAGCAGCGGCTGATCCAAGAGGTGGGCAACACGGACTTCGAGTCACCGCGGGCCAACCAACGGCCCCACCGCCGTCTGCCGCATGTGCTCATCATCGGGGTGCGGAAGTGCGGCACGCGGGCCCTCCTCGAGATGCTCAACCTGCACCCCCGCATCCAGAAGGCCAGCGGCGAGGTACACTTTTTTGACCGCGACGAGAACTACCTCAAGGGACTCGAGTACTACCGCTCCAAAATGCCAGAATCGTACGAGCATCAGATCACCATCGAGAAGAGCCCCAGCTACTTTGTCACCTCGGAGGCCAGCGAGCGCATCAGAGCCATGAACGCGTCTATTAAACTGCTCCTCATCGTCAGAGAGCCAGTCGTCAGGGCCATATCAGACTACACTCAGCTCAGGTACAGCTGAATTTTTTTATAAATTTAATTAAGAATTAAATTTTATTTTAAATCAGTGATCTCAATAACGATCAAATGGGAACATTTGTAGGCGTTTTTAAAACTAAAATAAAAAATATTTACATTATTAATACAAATTTTTAAAATTGCCACTGTTTATTCATTACTCTTATTTTACAATATTTATTTTAATCTACTTGCTAGAAAATTTTGTAAAATATTTTTTTTAATGGATTTTTAAGCAAAATCAATATAAGATATTACAGAAAAAAAAATATATTTACTAAAACCTTGAAATTGTTGTGAAATGAATAAATTGTTCATAATACTTCAACTTATTGCTAATGTTGCTAATAATGAAGACTTGCTTCCTCACAGGTTTCTGTTCCCTTCAATTATTCCAAATTAATCAGAACCATTTAGTTGTATTGTAATTTGTTTTCAAATATTATAGACTAAATAATAATCCTTTGCAACAGATCGCACAGCCCAACTCGTAGTCCATCCAACGCGTCTTCGCCGAGCAGAGATATGAGTTTTGAAGAGTTAGCCCTGCGCCCAGACGGCACCATCAACGAGTCCTACCGGCCCATCGCCCTGTCAATTTACCACAGCTACATGTCCATCTGGTTGGAAACGTTTTCACGCCACCAAATTTTGATCGTCAGCGGCGACACCTTGATCGCAAGGCCGGCCACAGAACTCGCCAAAATCGAGTCCTTCCTCAACATTGAACCCAGACTTGGACCCAGAAACTTCTACTTCAACAAAACAAAAGGTTGGAAACCACTTAAAAAAATCTTGCTTACAGGGAATGAATTATTTCTTACATTAGTATGATGATTTATTAACGTTTCTCAGGGTTCTATTGCATAAAAAATGCATCGGCTGACAAATGCTTGAAGGACACAAAAGGCCGGAGGCATCCTGACGTGGACCCAGACGTCATTTCCAAACTGCGTAGATTCTTCAGTCTGCACAATCAGAAGTTCTACGAGCTGGTAGGTGAGGACTTTGGATGGCCTGAGTCCTGAGTTTAGATAACAATACCTTCCTTCAAAACGCGTAGCAAAATTTGAGCAACGAATTTATCTTTCACACACGCAGAGAATTGCAAACATTTTTTTCCGTTAGGCCGAGACAAAGTGCCAATGTAATATTTTAATTGTTAAACTCGCGGAACGCCGCCTTGGATTCAATGATTGGGCAGAGAAATAAGAGAGTTCCTCGATAGTTCCTCACAGAGCAGAGAGTTGATGTGCGGACAGAGTTTACAATGACCGCCACCACAGGACGATGAATAATTAACATATCATAACTATCAACTAAAAAGAGCGATTTTACAACATCAGCTTTAAGAAACGAAACAAAAGTCTCGTGTTACACAAAAATCTATTAACTCTATTTGCAGCGAGTCAAGCGCTGATTTTAATGAAATATTATATTGTAATTGTATTGAAATACGAATTGAAAATCGTTACATATCAAATCGAGAAACACGCGAAGAAAGAAAGAATTTTGGAAATTTTTAAGTCTGAATAAACACATATCAACATGTAAAAAATAGAATATCGCGATTTATTAATTGTTAAGGTGTTTATGATAATTATATATATATATATATTATACAAATACTAGTCCCTTTGGATTAATGCAAACATATCATCATTGAGTAAGAAAGGCTAAAGGACTGCATAGATTATGCGGATGTTATGAATATTTTACAAAACGAACGCGGGAAAGATTCTAAATTTTGCCGATGGAAAAGGAGCTAAATTATAATCGCTTACTTCTGCCACCACATTTTCATTATCTGAAAAACTTTCCATATAAATTAAAAGTTATACTCACGCTTATGCAAATCGATATGATTAGAATAATTTATCGCCTTACAATAAAGTTATTGATTGAATAATTCTATATTCAAGTTTTGTAATTGAAGTTATTTCTATTGAGCTTTGAAAATAGATATTGTTATTAATTTTTGAATTTAAAAAAAAATCATCACACCGTAAAATAATTCAGTAATTTACAGCACAAAAAGCTCTTTATTATAGTGATAATTTTAGAAGCACGCATTTAATATTGTCTCCGCAAGTTCAAAGTACAGGGTCTTTCATTGCATTACATTCAAGCAATAATGATCGGTAAGATTATGGCACCTTTTCCGTTTTCAACTTCAAAGTGATCACAAAATTATATTGGGCGAGAAACTACAAATCAATGTCATCATTAACGTAGACGTTGTTTTTATAGCTTGTTTTTCATTAAAATGGCTCGTGAAATGTTGAAAAGTGTCGTATTTTAGGGCCTGATGATTTATTAAATCACAAAATTACGTAAAAAGGTCCACAGACGAGAAGAATTAAGGATAGAGCATATCAGACTAGAGTCATTTAAATAATAAGTTAATTTCTTTTTTTACTTTTTTTTAGAAGTTATAGTGTTTCTGTAAATCCATACAATTTTACGACTTTTTATCATGATGCTTATATTAAGATGTCAAATTTTGCATTAAAAATAAGGTAAAAGCTAGAAATGTTGGCCGAGGCGTGAAACATTGATGCGAATCAGAGTTTCGCTTTTAAAAGAAAGAAAGCCATTATTATTAAAACGTATAAATATAGATTTTAATCCTCTCGCATCTGCACACATTTCTCCTCTAAACTTGTGCAAAAATGTGTGAGATACAAATTTTAACAATTTTAAAAATTGATATATTATGATGCTTTGTTGCATTTTACATTCAACGTAATAATGTAACTTTGAATTTTTTTCGAGCAAGCCCTATATGCATCAAAACGATGAAATCAACGCGAGCCTTGATAAAACAGCCGTTCCAGGAAAAATGACTTGTGCGGAGGTGCAAATTTTTTTGATCAATTGCTCTATTTTATTGATTATGTTTGTCAAATCAAACAAGTAAATTTTTTCGTTTAAAATTTTAAAAGCAATGAAATTAAAAAAATCTTTGCACCTACTCGTATTTTAAAACAGAATCTCCACATATCAAATTATTTTTCTGCCACTGGTTGCATGTAATTGCGCCACCACATACATATCAAAAGGAAATTTGAGGCCAAAATATAATATATTATATTATTCTTACAGATTGTAAAAACCATACATGAGCACTCTGTTGTAAATCAAGTACGTTTGAGACTTTTAGTCAACAAAGGCGCACTGAAAGTAGTAAAAAACTACGCATGTTGAATTGCCACCAGAGTTTATATTTGCATACTGATGTTAACATAAGTTCTGACGGAAATATTTTATGATTGGGAACACGGATACAAAGAGAATGGTTTTCAAATTCAAAGTGAGACAGCTTTATATCAATATGTGTAATTAATATTTTAAAAAAGAATTTTTTTTTTTTTTAAAAAGTGTACATTCCTTCATTTATTAAATCGATTACCTGTAAATTTTCTGCATTTCCCACTGTCGAGTTTGTCTTTGGAAACCATTTCAAAATGACACAAGCTATTATATTCTGCACAATGGACATTTTAGAGATTTTCATAAAATGTATGCTGCTTTTAGGGTACAAAACTCAACAAAGTCTTATCATCATGGAAAAGATCATATTATCGCTGAAACGCAAAAATCAGTCCGAAAAACACAAACGCAATCTTATATGTTGTAAAACGAGTGATGCAATCTCACACAAATTTATCGCTCTGTTCTGCAGACAAAAAACCAGACTTGATTTTAAAATATTGGTTGTTGTCAATACAAAAATATGTAAAGATCAATTCGATGGACGCAACAAGTGAAGTCTTTCGTGAATCGAAAACTGGATGTAAATTAAAGAGTAGAAAACAAATATTAATAAAAGGAAGGAGCGAATTTTGAAGAAAATGAAATCACTCGTGGGAAACAAAAGAGAGTTATTTTTGCTCGAGAAGTTAGGTACCTCCTAGTTTAGTGTTAGTCAAACTTAAATGTGTGAAGTTTTAAGTGTTGAGGGCTAAATTTTTGCTGAGTGTTTGTTAATGATAGTATTTAACTAGTTCAATGCACACTTAAGACGACAAGCACTTGAAATTTGATGAAAATAAAACTGCAACATAATTGTTTTGTTTGATTTGTACTACCCCTATAACGAAATATCTTTATAAATTTTTGTACTGTTGAAAAAAAACATTTCAGATTTTTTTTATAAATTAATTTATTAAATGCACAGCACTGATATCTACATATTTCATAGAGAAAATAAATATCAAATTAATGCGTGCCGCACAGAGGAGAAAAAAAACTCATGCAGCACAAAATAAATAAAGAACGGGCACTTTGTTTACTGTTCGCGCCGCTCTTCTCTTCGTCAATTCGCAACCTGATACGGAGTCCAGCTCCGTTCGCGCAAATAAGAAGCAGAAGATCGATTGCGAGCAGAAAAGACCGGTTTTATCTAAATTCAGTCTAACATGACACTTCTCTCTAATATAAAAAATGACCTATGAGGCCAGAAACATTGAATTCAAATGGCAAGAATTGAGGCGCAAAAGTGTCTCTTCATCTCATACCTGAGAGTTGTTTTTTGCGATTAAAAATATTTTTTCCCAAAGCCAGACTTTTGAAATCGTATATTTACAACAGTGACGGGTCTTGTTATCTACCAAGACGTCTGTTCTTCGTTTTCCTTCTGGTCCATGATTTTGAGTTTTCTCTTGTTACGAAAAACGGCCGCTCAGTGGTCGGGCACAAGAACTTCTGGAAAAGTGGCTTCCAGGTGGTGGTTTTTTCCCACGGAGGCTCAAACAAATTGTTCCAAAGAGTATTTGCAGCTGCAAAAAAATTAGTATGATTTACAGCAATATTTAATTTAAATTGAATTTATTACCAACTGCATGTAGTTTCTGTGAAAAGTGGAAGCAGTCGATGGACATGTAAGAATAATCAGTGGTGAGCCGACCATTGTTGAGCCTCACAGTGGGGTAAATGTTGTCCAGGTAGGTTGGCTGGAACTCGAGCGCGAAGTCTGGACGGCCGTCATACCTCTTGCTTTCGACCTATTATTTGCAATTTATTTATTCTGCTGCGTAAAAAGGCGCATTCTTATCCGAAATCGGAATTTCGTGCAATTTTTAGATAAGCTTATATCTTAAAAAATCTGCACTCTTATAGTTTTATGACGCATGATGAGTTCTTTGATATCGAAGCGAATTTGTTGCAAAATCTTAAGAGAAAGCAAAATAGACTCACCAACATTCGCTCAACCTTTTGGAACCTTCTGGTCATCAAAGTAACATTTCGCAGTTTTTCTGCCTCGTTCCCTCCAAAGAGACAAGAACACAAAATGGGCAAAAGCGAAAGGCACAAATTTGGCAAATCCTTCAATTTTGTGTAGCTCGGAACATCTATGACAAACAAAAATATTTATCATCTTAATCAGAATTTGAGCACAGAAAATACTAAACAAAACAAAAATAATCAGGACAGGAAATTCTTTTTTGGCTCTCCTATGTGGTTTTTTTAGCCTTCGCTCTATATTTTGAAAATAGAAAATACCACAGATTTCCTACATATTTTTTTCTATGAAAAATAAAAAAAAAATAAGTTCTGTTCTTTCTTAATAAAAAAAACATAAGGAATATCTAATTGTTATTAGAGAGTTCAAACAAAGAATTTTCTGCAAAGCTACTTACATGGAGCCGAGACCAGATTCACAAACGCTCTTGGCACGTGTTCGTAGAGGTAATCAAGAGTCTTTTGCAGATTCCTCATGTGCGCATCAGCACCCTGATTTGGGTCGTAGCAAAAGTCGGTGCAGAGATCATTGGTGCCGACCCAAATTGTGATCATCTAACCAAAATATATATTAACCCAAAGTTATTTTCCCAACTCGTTCAATGAGCCAAAAAGTAATTTTAAAATTGTGCATTTTTTAATAACAAAAAACTTAGTTTACAATTAATAAATTACCATATAATATATTTTAAAATGTGTGAAAATTAAAGAAAATATAAACAATTTTTTTAAACAACTATTCATTACTTACTTTTTGTATGGTATATAAATAAAGTTTGAAAAACTAGGTTTCTTATTTATTTTTAAATAATTTTTCTTCAAATTTAATTTTTATTTTCACCTTCCAATGGTTTTTAAAATCAACGCGCCTGTCCGCACGCATTCGCCTGACAAGTTCGACCGCCTCAAAGGGAATGTCCTGGTCCATGGCACCGTTGACGGCAACGTTGAATTGCGCGTTGGGCGTCTGGGAGAGGCCGTCGCCCAGCGATTGGCCCGTCACGTTCGGATTGTACTCCTTCAGGATGTTGGGCAGCGTCAGGTACTGGCGCCAGTTACCCTGGCCTCCTGCAACACCCCACTAACCGATACACCCACGCACTTTTCGCAACGCAAAACCGGCTCCAAATTTTAATCAATTAAAATTATGAGGAGAAAATAGGAAAATTGGTTTCCAGAGGTGAAGCCGTTTTGTCGAATAAATCAATAAAATCATATGGATAACTTGATATATTGATAGGAACTCAATAAATATGACATCGTTCTGCTGTAAAAAAATTATGTAATAAAATAAATTTACTTTTTTATATTGTTGTATAGGATTGCAGCTACCAGCGAACAGTTAAAATAAATTTAATTTTAAATAACAAGAAAAAATATCAAACTTCTTGATTTGAGCAAAAGGCTGGATCATAATTTATCTGGAATTTAATTTTCACCTCCGCTCCACGACATGCCGCGATTGTCAACAGTGATCACGTCATAGAAGGCCCTGGCCACGGCACCGGTGGCCGCCGTCAGGCTGTCCCCGATGGTGGCCACCACGTCAATGTCACCAGGGCGCAGCTGATGCGCCGAAGAGGGTCGCTCGGGGGAACGCGCACCAGGTTCTCTTGGACAAGGAAAAGGTACGTTGCGAGGAATGACAGCCTGTTTTTCATTCTGAAACAATGCAATAGAAAATTTGGAAATACAAATTTGAAATTTTCGTTCGTAAAAACCGCATAAACGGATTTTTTTAAATGGGACCGTTCATGAATGATTTAAGTAAGATGAATTGGACAGATTTTTTTTGTTACGAGCACCACTCTGATTTTTAGATATGTTGTTAGGGTTGATGAGAAACTACTTTGACCAAATTTTGAGACAAAAATTTTTAATACTTTTTGAAATATTCGGGTTTTTTGAAAAACTAAAAAATGCTTATATCTTTGCTCGTATTAATTTTAAAGTCATGAATTTTCACTCCAGTAGGTAACTTTTTGTTCTGAACAACTTTGCTGTTGACCAAAATGTCGTAGGTCAAAGGTCAAGGTCACTAAAATGCATTTTGAGTTTTTAAGGCCCATTTTCTCAAAAAAGTATATTTTTGATATTTTTTGTGTAAATGCAAAAAATGTAGGCCGTTAAATTCTACATCTGGTCAGCAAAATTCGCGATGGCGTTATTTTTAGTTTTTAAGATATTTTCATGTAAAATTAAAAAGATGCGTTTTGCCGATATGCCGTATTTTGATATTTTTCTGTTTTTTCATTTCTAGGAGGACTAGAGCAATGCGGTTTTCACTGTTATACCCAATTTTTAATTCTGAACAACTTTTCTGTTGAATAAAAATACCTAGGTCAAAGGTTAAGGTCAGTAAAATGTATTTTTATTTTTCAAGGCCATTTTTCTTAAAGAAGCATACCTCGGATTTTTTCCGTGGTATAGGAAAAAATGTAGCCCATTAAATTCTACATCTGGTAGGTAAAATTTAGAATGGTGTTATTTTTAGTTCAAAAGATTTTTCAATAAGTATTTAAAAAGTTCATTTCCGTACATATTTTCCATAGTAAATTCTAACTTTTTTTTGCTCTTTTGAAAACTTATTAAAATATCTTTTGAACTAAAAATAACACCATTCTGAATTTTATCTACCAGATGTAGAATTTAATGGGCTACATTTTTTCCTATACCACGGAAAAAATCCGAGGTATGCTTCTTTAAGAAAAATGGCCTTGAAAAATAAAAATACATTTTACTGACCTTAACCTTTGACCTAGGTATTTTTATTCAACAGAAAAGTTGTTCAGAATTAAAAATTGGGTATAACAGTGAAAACCGCATTGCTCTAGTCCTCCTAGAAATGAAAAAACAGAAAAATATCAAAATACGGCATATCGGCAAAACGCATCTTTTTAATTTTACATGAAAATATCTTAAAAACTAAAAATAACGCCATCGCGAATTTTGCTGACCAGATGTAGAATTTAACGGCCTACATTTTTTGCATTTACACAAAAAATATCAAAAATATACTTTTTTGAGAAAATGGGCCTTAAAAACTCAAAATGCATTTTAGTGACCTTGACCTTTGACCTACGACATTTTGATCAACAGCAAAGTTGTTCAGAACAAAAAGTTACCTACTGGAGTGAAAATTCATGACTTTAAAATTAATACGAGCAAAGATATAAGCATTTTTTAGTTTTTCAAAAAACCCGAATATTTCAAAAAGTATTAAAAATTTTTGTCTCAAAATTTGGTCAAAGTAGTTTCTCATCAACCCTAACAACATATCTAAAAATCAGAGTGGTGCTCGTAACAAAAAAAATCTGTCCAATTCATCTTAAATCATTCATGAACGGTCCCAAATAAATTTTTAGATTCGAAGAAAATAATCTCCAATAATGAATCCTAGCATATCCATGATTTTTAATTTTCAAAAGGGATGAATAATTTATTTTCAAATTAAAAATAAGTGCTCTAATATTTAGCATCTGTTTATGACTTGATAAATAAGTGCAAGAAAAAAGGAAGATAAGAAGAACATAAATCGTCATTACCTTAATATCTAGGAAAGGCAGGAAAAAGGCTTCGGCAGCGGCAGTCAAGAGCAATACACACAGCAGCAGTTTCCCGGAGCCCCGTTCTGCACCAAACTCGACCATCCTGAAAATTTCTGCATTTTGATCAAACGCCCTTTTTCCTTGCCCGCACCACGCGAAAGTCCATTTTTGCAAATCTAAGGGAATTGAGCAGTTGACGCGACCAGTTGAGAAGCAAAAGTGAAAAAGCAAAGAAAGTTGGTGGCGTGTGGCCGCCGTTTTTTATGAGTGGCTGCCCTCGCGTTTAGTTTCACCTTAGCAAAACCAACGAAAATAACAAGAGTGCAATAATTTTTTCACTCAAGCGGGAATCCTCAAAAATAAGTTGAATTCCGCGCGTGCAGTTCCTAACCACGAATCAATTTCTATTTTCTTTATTAACAGTTTGCTCACTCAAAAATTATTATCAGATTTTAACTGAAAACCATTGAAAACCATGAGGGATACAAATTTAAAATGTTTAAAATGAATTATCTGTAATAATATGTAATGTAAATTAATGGAAACATGCTACAAAACAAGTTTAAATAAATCTCTAGATGATTTTATTTTTCCAAATAATCTTTGACCTGTTGTGTTGTGAGTGTGAATAACGAATTGTAAAATTGCAATTTTCAAGTAGGAGAACGTGGTTTTCACTGAAAAAGAATGGAATGCTGTAATACCAATGAAAAATTGTATCTATTAATTAAGGAAATTAATTCAGTGACCTAAAGAACAATTATTTCCGTCTTAAAAATAATATCCTAATTAAAAGTTTGAAATTAAGTCAACAGAGCAAACTAAATATTATTGATTGTTCAGAGTGTGTATCACAAAACATTTTTTTATTTGTTTCAAATCTTGAAGGTATAATGAGGAATAATACTAGATATTTTCAAAATTCTTATACATTTTAATAATAGTATGATTCAGTATGATTATAGCAATAGTATCCTGTAAACAGTTTGATTTTCTACTCTCATAAATCTGAATGATTTATATTTTATTTGTTTTTAAAACTAATTTTTTGTTTAAATTTTAAAAAAAATATATTTAATTTTTTATTAAAATGAACTGTGATGATGATAATGTTTAAACAAATATAAGCCTACTATGTTGTTTATCTATTTTTGAGAAAGAGAAAAATTTTATCATGTGTTTGCACATGAATTAAAGAGCGAATTAAAGCCCTTCATTTGAAGAAGTCAATGCCAGTTGGACAAATACCCAGTAATTCATGCCAAGGCGATGGTGCACATTCCGATTGTACGTTTTGATCTGCGTGACGGTCAGACGCGTGAAATATTTATTAATTAATGATGCTGCAGAATCGTGCAGGGCTTTCTTTCAAAATAATAAAAATGCACTTCTCGCGTGCATATATTTTTATTTAATACGATTGCGGCGGCGTGCCAACCACTCGACTTTTTTCATTCTTTCGTTTCATTTGAACTCACCAAGGTTTCTGTCTAGTCATTTGGGCATTTTTTTCTATTCGCAAAGCAAATAATATAATTTATCAACGCGCAGAGGTATATTATTTAATTATTTGCTGAGTCAATAGCGCCGTGAAATTCGCGCGAGACAACATTAATTTTTGGCAAACTTAATAGGCGGAACTTGAAAAGTCTCGACGACTGGCAATGACTTCAAGAGTTTCGTATTTACTAATGCTTTGTGCGGCTTTATGAGATCACGATTATTCAAGTATTTATTCAAATGAGTTTTACTTAATTCATTCCTCAAACTTTGAATTTTAGAGACTTCCTTAATTAGCTGTTATGTTTACACCAAATTAGCATGTTGCTCAAAAAATTTATATTCAGTAAATAGTTCTACCTTTTTCTAAAATGGTAAAACTTGTTTGCAAATTTGGTATTATAAAAAAATGACCAAGTTTGATTCAAAATAGACGCAATAGCGAATCTTGAATGAAATTTTGTATGCCTTTAGAATAATGGATTTCATTCATTTTAACAGGCAAAAAATGATTTTGTGCTCTCATCCTGTTACTGCAACCGCAGGTTTATTGCCTTGATCTTGACTTGCTTTTTTGCACTATTAGGAAGATGATGAAGCCATCGTGTGCTCCCTGTCAATCGTTATTATGACTTACTACAAAACGCGTGTAGCGAAATGATTTAGAGATTAAAGGAGCTGTGAGGCCATTCACGCAGGTAGATTTATTGCTAACCTAGACGAGCGGATGCAAATAATTGCAAGTCAGCACGCGAGTTTTTGCTTTACAGTTTATATATGCTAATAAATTTAATTAAAATTTAATTAATTGTCACTGTCTGTCTATTAAAAAAATATATAATTTTAGAGATCCATTAGAACCATAAGAAATGAAAAGCTAAAGACCCGCCTCCCTCTAATCTAATTTTTTCGTTGCTAATAATCGATGATAAGCATGGAGCTTCCAAAAAGTTGAAAAATTTCCTACCAATCGGCCTTGCATTAAATTGGCGTAATTATTGTGCTACCATGAAAATTTTCTTGATCTCAATGTAGCTGCGATCAATCTACACTTAAGCAAATCTTGTTCCTGAAACCCGCAATCAAATATTTCTACGCGCACACAAAATTATTTGCGTTTCCTTAACTTCTGCTTGCTTATTACCGCTTTCTCAGATTCTATTTTTGCTTATCAGCGCGTACATTTTCTTATTTTCTGTTATACATCATTGCGTGAAAATAATAAAGATCCTTGCATATTTTTGATGTTATAATAGTCCTATGGAAAACAGGAAAAATAATTAACTATTGAAATGACAATTAGAGTAAAAACCATGCGATTATCCTAACATACTCAGATAGGCAGATCGATGGTCTATAACACGTTTGTCTATGCAAAATGATCTTCTTAAGTTGTTGACCTTTCAAAATCCGTCCAAGGTCATCAACCTGACGCACGCTCATAGTTTTAACGTCATTTATTTCCTTTTCCCTCAATGAAATTCCATGTTTAATGCAGAAAACAAATAATTTGAACAATTTTTTCGTTTTTTATTTTGATAAAAAAAATTATATAAACAAATTGGCTCCTGGCTTTGCTCTTAGAATTCTCCACTTTTTTCTGTCAACGGAGGACTAATTAAATTGTTGCTTCCGTGTTTTGGCGAAAATTTGTGAGAACGATTTTTAGCGGCTGAGGTCGTTTCCTAAAACTAGAAGGAACTGCGGGCCTCTGTTTACAAATATAATTTGATATTTCCTGAATGACGTTTTTCGCAAATTAGGCAGTGCGGCAGTGGACAACTATTGAAATTTTCCTCTCTTTTAACAGTACATGCAAAATAGATTATTACAATTAGCAAACTCATAGAAAATCTCTCAGTAAACGTTCAAGAATTGAAGCATCTAAATATTATGTTATAACTTGGTATCATTATAAATGTTTTTATTTAATTTTATTTTTTAATTTAAAGATAAATTTTATTGATAGAAAAATTCGTGTTTGATCCAAAAAATTGAATTATTTTTAAATTTTATTTAAAGTGAAGTTCACTGGAAGGTTGTTGCCCATAGAGTAAACAAGCAGTTGTGACCGCGGGAATCTCTTTATCCCTGTCTTACACTCGCGCAAAAAAAATGCAAAGTCACTTTTCTCTCAAGCTGTCCATCGAAAGCGTGCAGACAATCATCGGAGACACAGCCCGTCACAATATTTGTTTTGCTGATTGATGGCCCAACAAAGGAAAAAATCGCAGACTCGCGAATTCAACGCAGCCGAATGTCAAATCTTTTGTCGCACAAAGGAATCTTGAGCGCTTTTTATCCAGTGGCATTTTAACCTTGCTCGTCAGCTTCGTGCATGTCGAATTATGTCTGGCTATTGTGTTTCCAACCACACCAGATTAGAGGTATTGACTGGCCGCAGGCGTGGACCTCACACGCCCGTGAGAAAATTGAAAATGACAAAAATAAATAAAAAGCCGATTTTGATGAAAAACATAAACAAATAACTTGATTTTATAATAATTTTTGTAAATATTTTGAATTTTCAATTTTTAGGCGTATATTTTTTTAGGGAAAATTTCATGTTCACACTTTTATTACGTCGTGGGTGTTTTGTTGTTAGACACGGCAGTTATTCTGTTAAAATGTTCCAACATATTACGTCGAAGGTCCACGCGATTAGTTCTGTTTAAATGCGATTTCCTTGATTTTTCTCTTCTATGCATTACTAACCCAGTGTATCAGAAAAGGCGTCGACCTTGCCGTCGGTGCAAGGGCTTGCCTCCGATAGATACCTTAACTTTGAACTCGCTCAGCTGAGCAAGCAAAGCGTGAACGGTTCGGTGCAGCTCGGACATGCATTCTATTTTGACCCTGTCAAAGAAGCAACAAATAATTTGATTTTATTAATGTTTTCGGAAGTTGGGCGACGTCAGTTGCAAGCATTTTTGTTTTCAACTTTGGCAAAAACAGGAAGGGAATTTTTTAATTTATTGCTGCTATAAGTTTCCAAATCTGAGTTTTGTGTCGGAGAATAAATTTTTTATATTAGAAAACGAATATACATGTACAGAATTAATTAACGCGTGCTGTTTACAAGACGCTCTAGTATGCAATTGGAGAAAAGGGGCTCCCACGGCCGCGAGGCCATTGGTGCAGCTGTGCTGGTTTTCAAGAAAAGAAACAGGAGTTTATGCGCATTAATCATAGACCTTTCTTTGTAGGCTTGCCATTAGCACGTCTTTAATTTTCGTAATTAAAACAATCTTAAGAAGTTTTGTGTGTTCTTCATAAAGGCGTTAAAACGCTTATGGAACTTTGATAACATGCAAAAAGTGTGTGAGTGTGTGTGGGATAAAAACTGCGTTAAACGGGGACAAAAGTTGGTAGAAAATTACATGAAATTATTTAGTCGGAGGAAGAGTGGAAATCTTGTTGATTTTTTTTCTTCCAAAAACAAGTGTACTTATTTTGTTTATATTATTTAAATGCGTGTTTTATTATCATATTTTTATAACTAAAATGTGCTCTCTTTAATTTTATTATATATTTAAAAAAATTTCCTTGTAGGCCGAACCTGATACAACCGTTAGTGGCTCTGTTCCTCTGACAAAAATTTTCAATGAGGTCGTGAATTGCTATTACTGAACCGTTTTAATTGGAATATTTTAGTTTATCAAACGTACATCAGGATTATGTAAATTTTATAAGAACTGTACGGTGAATTTTCTTATGCTAAAAATTAATTTGAAAATTGTTTTACGAAGATAATTCTGGACAATTAATTGCATGTTTAATCTTTTAATTAAAGTGGATGATGCGAATAATCTCTCAATCAAATGCTAATAAACACGCTTTTATTAACTCCTTGTATAAAAACAGCTGAAGAATAATGTAACAAGCCGACTGACGGTGAATAGCCTGTCTGCGAGTGCTAATTCAATAGAGCTGCATTATAGCAGGTTGATTAATCGTGCGAAATGAACGCGGCCGAGCATCAGGCAGTGAATCAAAATTTAATGAGAGAATGAAGCGGCCCGTGGCTCGCGATCCTTCTCACTTTCGGTTGATGCAATCGCGATGCTTTTCATTGTCATGAATAAATTCCAAGTTCACACATAGCAGAGCGTGATTCCGTCACGATTCGCACGTCTTTCCTTTTTATTTTCATAGCAAAATAAAAAAAATTAGGGCAAACATATAATATTTATTCTAAAATTGGCTCAAAAGACCTTCTTGAAAATAATAAAGCTTGTCTTATCTTACTCTACATTCATCATTTCCTTATTCCTCTTCGTTTTTTAACCACATCCGCATTTTATACAAGCATGTTTGCTCGAAGGGCAGCAACCTGCTGGGTTCATCAAGAGTGCTATCGAGGTAATTAGTAATGAGACGGTAAATTACACCATACTTGCAGTTTCATTGAAAAATTTTATTGCCCGAATTTTTCTCAGAAAAATTGCTGTAATTGTTAATTGTAATTATATTAATTAAAAATAATTTTTTAAACTTAAAAAATGCAGAAACGATCATTATTTTGTATAGTAAAAAGTTTTACAAATATTGTTTAATATTTTTAAATTAAACACCTTCCAATCGTCAATGGAATAAAAATTAAATTTGTTGTCCTCATTTTATCTAATTATTAGAAGATCAATTGCTGCACTACCTTTGCTTTTAACAAATTTTTGTGAGCAAATAAAGAAAATCATGCTCATCTTGTCCTTTGTCTGATTGATTTTCTCCGACCTTCACACATCTGGTGTGCATTGTGGAATCGTCTGTCGATGTACGCGATTAATTTGTATGGACGACTGGACGCCCGCTGGCAACAACTCGATTGACATAAGGAGCGAATGAAACAAATATTGGTCACCATAGCAGCACCTACGAGAACTCAATGCCACCGTAAACGATTTAGGACTAAGTCAGTCGGCCAGCTAGGCTCTGGGCGCACACACGGTTGTGAAACAAAAAAACGTTTATTGACAATGCACGGCGCATCCACAGCCTTCTTGTTAAAAAGGTTTATTCTCGCCAACACGTCCCATAATTAAAGTGTCAGCCTCGATTATTCCAGAATCAGTTTTACTTAGAAAGCTAAGATACTGTCAATCATTTTGATAAAAATAAATATCTATTATATTAAATAATCATAAAATAATTTCATAAAAATAAAATAAATATTCCCACATTTGGGTATTATCTTATTTAAAAACTTAAAAAATAATGTAATAATGGAGCAAACAAACAAAAATTTATTAGCAAAATAGTTTGAAAGATCAAAAAATTAATCAAATTGAAAAAAAAAATTAAATTTAAATACTCTTTGATTACTCCAGTTAATCAGCAGGATCTAAATTTGGTTGACAATGTACGATTGATTGAAAATTTAAGCAATTTTCCAAGGCTTACAGCAAGCATTGCATGACTAGTGCAATTACATATTACTCTCTCAAGGAAATTCTAAAATAAACAGTTTATAAATGAGTGTGGCTCATTTCTTAAGCACAAATTTATCAATTTTCGTCCTTCCTTCACAAAAGAGAAAAGAGAAAGGACAAATCGCATAGAAGTGAAGTTCATTTTCCAAATCCCTTGCCTCACAGAATTTTTCCAATGCCAACCGTGTTGTGAGTGATTCGCTGGAAATTTTCATTTGAATCCTATTAGCCATCTGATTCACGCAAAAGCCATTACTGAGCACCGGAATCGGAGAGATGACTGTGTTAGATCATTATTATTATACAATCGGACGGACTCTCCTTTGAGGGAGTTGGTTGCGCGACCCAGTTCGCCTCAATACACTCTCCTCAGGGTCACGGTTTCCAGCCTTAAAGTGCAACACGCACGTTTGATTTCTCTCTAGCGCGTCTATTTGCGTATTTAATCTGATTAAAGCGTAACGACTAGTCCGGTCTGATAATTATTTTAACTTTTGGGTACACGATTATATTGAATGTTTAATGAAGAGTGGAAAAGGACATCTGAAATTTAAAAAATGATTTACAGATACCAATTAGAAATTCACGTTTTTCGCCTTCTTAATAAAAAATAATAAAATATAAAATAAATTTTATAAACATTTATATTTTTTTTTTCGATCATTTGGACACGGCTATAAATATAAAATTATCTAATTGTATTTACTTAATATTTACAGTTTTGCCATTAACTTAATTCAATTTCATCGAAATTATGTAAGAGTAAAGTAATCAAGTTACAATTGAATGGGAAAAGTGAATGCAAACGAGAGTGGAAAATTCGTAAAGGCAATTTAGTGAAGAGTGATGTTAGAACATAATTAATCCTATTTGAAAGCAGAATAAAATGATTTAATAAATTTTTGGGGCGTGATTTTTAAAGCGAACTCGAAATGCAAAAAAAAAATTATTCGGACGCCCTGCTGTTTGTCATAGATTGATACCAGGTAGCAGGGATAAGGGATAACAATGATTTGACATTGACAGTTTAGTTAAGCGCAATGAATAACCGGTTTGCAGCCAGTAAAGGACAGGCAGAAGACTAACAAGTAGTTTGAAAGAACAAGAGCAGACCCGGAAATTTGAGGAAATGCGTGGTAAAAAATTTGAGAGGGCCATAAAATGTAGGAAAAGAAATTTTATCTACAATCGGATGTTTCTAACAGGGTCGTCATATGGGACTCTCGTTTGTGGCGCAGGTCAAGCATGCGGTTCACTTCGCGAGAAGCAACGCGCGGAGGCCAAGGCAAAACGAAGCAGCTTTGAAATGGTATTGTGAGTAATTAGTCTCGATTTATTGTGAGCAACAATGCAATTTTGATGTCATTGCGTACAGCTTCAAATACGTACACCCATGAGCGCCGATTGATTTTGCTTTCAAAGACTTTTCTCAAAAATGACCACCGAGGTTGTTGCAAATACCGTTCAAGGCGCCGGCGATGAAATGCATGAATTTGCAATTAGGAAAACCTTTAAATGCATTTGATCGATGGACTTGAAGTGCTTATTGTTCAAATGATGCCAAAATATCAATTGAATCAATTCATGAATACACTTTCCATAGTAGCCTTTCATGGCCCAGACTCACGTAGCAAAAAGAAAGATTTCTAAAAAAATCTCAACTGTATAAAAAGTCAAATAAAGCTCTGAATGTTTTCTAAGTAAATTATTAAGTGGAATAAAAATTTTATACTGAATGAACAAGCAACCTAAGCTTTAAATTAAATTTTCTATACAAAAAATTAGTTAAAATAAAAATTAGGGTCCCATTTTTTTTTTATCTTTATTTGATTTAATTTTGACAACTCAAATTTACGTTATACATATTTAAAGTTTGAAAAACTTAAACATTAAATAAGGGGGAATTTTTTAGATCGAGTTTACCCCATATTCTATTCAAACTGCAAAATCCAGCTTTTACCCTTTCTGAGTGACTGTGTGAGCTTCTTTTAAATTTATACATATTTGTTTAATGTATAAGTTTGTAACTTGATGCCCATCAAATAATAACGTTTTTTTATTTAGTGAAACCTTTTTAAAACGTGTTTTGATATTCAATTAAAATGTGCAATTCCTAATAAAATACTTCAAGAATTTTGATTTGAAAATTTTTTATGGGTTTCTGCAACACAAAAACTTTTTGACGTGCAAAATTTTTGCGATACAAAAACTGGCCATTCAAATTTTAATCGGATCTATTAAAAATTCACTAAATCAATTAAGTAAATTACAAATTAATTTAAAAAATTTTAGTTTCCAAAATAAAACTATTTTTAATTTTGTATTCGGAGAATAATAATTACTTTTTTGTTTTCAATAGATTTGCAAAAATGGACTTTTGATAAAAATTGAAGAAATTTTTCCTTTTGAACAGAACAAAAAGCAAATAAGTGCGTTAATTGCTCACCCTGTGAGTCTGATTTGTTGGCTGTTGGGGTTGATTGGCGGCGACGCAGCTGGTGTGGTTTCGCAGCTCTCGGCGCTGAGCCCAAAAGGCTGCTCCTCGCTCGGGCGGCCGACGTCAAAGTACTGTGTGATTATATTTTATTCGCAGGCGATCTGCCACCGCCACTGATCGCGACCACACGACACGCCGATTCACTCGTGCGCCGGCAAAGCTGCATTCGCTGCGCTCTTCGCGGGCAAGGTCAGGAGCACGTTGTTTGTACGCAACTTTTTCGGAGGTGGGAACCGGAAGGTTGCGTCTCTTTCGTTAATTGGCAGCCACGCGCTCCCGTGTTAATGTGAAATTGCTCGCTTTAACAACGCACACGCACTGCCGGCTTGGATAGGCATGGATAGGCAAGAAAAATTATCAACTGTTTTTACACATGTTAATTTTTCTAGAATAGCGCGTGGAACATCGTATCTCCACGGTTAATATGTTTTACAAATATTTTTAACTTTGTCATCTTTTCCTGCCTTTTCAATTATCTTAATTATTTTTTGAACATTTTTCGTTATGAACAGTTTTGAAGATTATTTCACTTTATTTGTAATTTAGTTTAGGAAATTTTTATAGACAATAAAATAGGCGAGGAAACAAACAGAATTAAAAATAATATTATCAGCATTAATTTTAAAATCTTAATTACAAGTTTTCAGACCGTCCAACAAATTTTCATTCTCTTCTTCACCTGTTACTTTCTATTTTGTGCAGTAAATTTTGTCAAATTTAATATCAGTTGTATTTTATTTTTACATCCAAATCATTCAATAATTTCCTGTTTTAGAGGCCAGTGGCCAGTCCAGCCAGTCTTTTATAGGAATTTGATGCGTGCATGAGAATTCGCACGTAGCGATTTTTTAATGAAAGATTCCCGCTGATGTTCAGCGCTGAATAAACTAGCAGAACTAGTCTCGTGGTCATCCTCTTTTACATATCAACTATTCTCGTTTAACTCAGAGATCACAAGATACGCGGTCATATCATACACTATGTGCGTTGCAGGTTTAGCTGTTTATTAAGAGTTAAAAAAAACTTGAAAATCTTGTTCGTTTATGAAATTTACCGTTTTTGATTTAAATTAATTAATCTTGAATCTTTTGAAGGAATTTAAAAAAATAATTTTGGTACTCTTAAACTTTTTTCTTTTAATAGTGCAGAGAAAATATTTTAGAAACAAAAATAATGATAAACGTCTTGGTAAAGAATTAATTAATAACTTCTCAAGCTCTCAAGTAGTAAGTTATACATAAAAATAATATATTTTAATCGTGATTGCGCTTATCATTGTTTTTTTTAGACGCATTTCTTACTTCCATATTAGCCCTTTCAAAAATAGCCAAACGACTGGAAATTAGTATAATCACCAATAATTATAATGCTCCTGCTGCGCCTAAATTTGCTAGCAATATAATTAGACCCGTAAGTAACTATTTTGGACCAACAGGTTTTCACCGCTGAGCCAATGAATGACCAGCAGTTCACGAATGCGTAAATAAATGCGACTCCGATTAATGGAAAGGTCACGATCGGCGCTTGAGAGGTAATTGCACGGCTCGCGGTTATTTTCTAGCTGACATTGAAAGATCCACACCCAATAACGCAGAGAGTTCATGCACTCAAACAATTCAAAAAGCACGTGCGTTGAAGTCTTCAGATAACTTATTTGGCGCCTTGACAAATCATAAAATTAAGGGCAGGCATAATTATTTTGCGTAATGATGAATAGACAAATTTATATAAATTTAATCAGTTTTTTTCTGATTCAATTGCCCACATGAGTTTCATTGTGTCCTTTTCCTGTTCCTTCGGTCCAGATTTTATTGTGACCAACGGTGACCCTTGAGTTTGTTGTTTGTTCGTTGACCTCGACAGGCCACTCTGATCAAAATAATGATACACCTTTAAGGTATGTGCGGTTTCTGATTTATTCTGTCGGTGAGTGTTTTTATATTGATCTATTGAGAAACAGCTGAATTCCGTCTATTTCGAAAGATTCGCGGAAATGCAGTGGCAGGTGCGACCCCGAGTCGGGAAAAACAAAATGTCTAAATACGATTCTGAGATTTAGGCGCTTCCCTGCGCTTGACGCTAAAAATGCAAATGGGCTGCCAAATTTGTTTTTATGGCCACAAGACGTGGTTTGACATTGGACGTATAATTTCCATTCCAGTAAAAATTGCACGGTTGTTTGTTACTTTTAGTCCTTTGAGTTTGTTAAATAATTTGTTAAAAACATTAAAAAAGACTCTTAAAGAATTTAGAACTTATTATCTTGTAAAATTTTCAAATTATTATATGCAGGCATTTTACAACACACTGAGAATTTAAGTAAAAATTTGTTCTTTATAATTTTACCCATAATAAACCTTAGACAGAAAAAAAATAGCAAAGAAAAGTAAATTTGAATTAAATGTATATTACATTTTTTTAACCAATTTTCCAATATTGATACATATTTAAACAAAATATTGTTTGTCCTCTCAAAATAAAGTTTGTACACAATATAATATAAAAATTAATAAGATAAAAAAATCCAGTCATCACTATGACAATTTTACTATTATGTGATGAGCTAATGAATTATTTTTTTTTGCTGAACGCAAAGAGGTTGATGAATATATTTTTCTTTTTTTCCATTTATAAATAAAAGAATCTAAGGTTGTACATACGAATCTAATTTGTTAAAAATGGAACAAAACGCCTTTGCAACTAGAGAGCTATTCGTGAGTCCTATAGCTTCTTATATCATCAATTGCAGCACGTGCGAGTTATTTTAAAGGTTGATGCTGGCTACAGGTTGCACTTGAACTTAATAGAGAATTGAAGAGCGTTCACATCGTGGTGTGACTGTGTTTGTAAATATTATAACTATTGAGTGGGAAAGTGGTTTTAAATGCTCGCAAGTGATGCTCATTAAAAATGTTGCTGCACCATTGTCTCCTTGATGCGTGCATAATGGGAAGTGCAGCTTTTATATTGTTTCATTTTTATTATTATTGATTATGATGAAAAAAACTGGCGTGAAATAAAAATTAAATGATAAAACTCCATCAATTAAAATTTAAAATTCAATGTAATTCTATTTTTAAAATGAAAGAAAATGTGGACTATTTAAAATAAGAAATTGTTGCTGTATAATTCATCATTTTCAATCAATGGCGTTTATTTTATTCATGCAAAAATATACATAGTTTAAAAACTAGTCGCTCTTGAAATGCCATCTGAATTTTGGCGTATCCTTTTTAGCGCTTTTTAGCTAACAATAAAGACGGAAAAACGTACGCTAGTGATACTCAAAATTTTAGTCAAATCATTCGGCAGAACAAGAGACGAAAGTAACGAGCATGATTAGCCATTTATTTCAATTTTTTCCCATCTGAAATTTTAACCTCCCATTGAAAAAATATCGCATGTATATATGGTTAATTTTAAGATGAGTGTTTTATTTTACGCTTGTGTGGTTGCTCGTCCACAAGGTTATCCGTTTTTTCACACTGCAATCGAACTGCAGAATGCACATAATTTTTTAGAGCACCTCTTAGAAGTGTTTGTTTCGGTAGAAGATTACTTTGCGAAAAAGGGGAAAAAAATATACTGGGAAGAGTGAGATGCGCGGTGCTCAATAAGCTCAGAGACTATAACTTGCAATTACAAGCAGGATGTGTGAGATTTTTTTATTTTGGCAACGCATCGCAACCTGATCATTATGGCGCCAAGGTCCTGGTTATTGTTAAACTTGAGAGCTGCACTTTTGAAACTATTATTGACAAAAAGAGGCGTAATGATTCCGATTCGGTGCTCAGTCATGGCACCACCGGGGCACATCGCAAATTAAAAATTAGTCACACTGGTCCTGACTTCCTGGATTTGCATTTTGTTATTTGAGATTATTTTTGCATTTATCTGTAATTTTTCTTTCTTCTTTTATAAAATAAAATTATAGTGTATGTAGTTATTTACTTTAAAATTATGATTAATGTATCTTGTTTTATGGGCAGTGCATTGCGCGTAACTAAAAATCACATACATAATAAAATTAAATTATTTTTCCTTTGTTACTTTTGATGCTTAAATAGACAAATACTGAACTTGTATTAATTTTATTGACTTGCATAATAAGCAACAATAATAAATGAAATTTTGTTTCAAATTTTTGCATTCATATTATTAATTTCATTTTATTTTTGAAAATTTAGATAAGTTTTATTTAAAAAAAGTGGAATCCAAGCACATCATATTTAACTGATAAATAAATGACTATGTAAGGCATGTAAGCTATAATTTGTAAATAATTCTAGAAAAAAATTTCTAAAAATTATCTCATGAACAATTTAAATATTTTAATTTTGGCAAAAACAATTAAAAAATTAGTTATCAAAGCTGAATACAAAACTTTCTTTTTTTATAACAAGTGGGGCCTCTCAAAAACAAAAGTCCCTCTCCTCCAGTTATGGATGCGATATCCATGTTAAATGAAAGATACGAAAATATTCTTGTGTGCTTAAGAAAAGGAACGGTTTTATCGCAGTTTTTTCTATAAAAAAAAAACCACTTGTAGTTTTTAATATGATAATTAATCTTTTAATATGCATGAAATGTTATATTAGAAAGATTATAACTCTGTTTTCCAATTTGAGCATCCACAAAAAAATATAAAATAATTTTTTTTGTACAAATACTCTTTCTAACCCACAGACGACAGTCTGTGTCCAAACCATGTATCATACTAAACTTGTTTGCAATGTGGCGGGAACGGTGGTCGCAGCTTCCACAAACCTGAACAAAGTTAAGGAAATATTTTAGGTTTTAGATTAATTAAAATTGACTCCAGGGGAAAATAAATTTAATTAATATTACTAATTTTGATATGGTATGAAGATTACAGTGTGTACCAATTTTCTATTATGGTTTTGGTTGACTTTTTTGTCGTGTTGTGATTTCTGTTATGTTGGCATTAGAATTTCGTCGTCTCGATCCTTCTCCAGCCAATCCTAGCCAAGCAGGCTAGCATCGCCAAGGGTGGGCGTTGGGGTGGGCAAGGCAGACAGACAGACAAGGGTGCGGCCAGACGGGGCGAAAGTTGGCAGAGTGACTCAGCTGGCGTGGCGCGGCACCCAAACAAACCCGGCCATTAGGCACCCCCGGCCGAGCACCCTGACCCTGGCCCTGGCACTTGACGTATGAAGCACTGAAAACACTCCGCTCAACCCTTCTTCCAAGTAAAATTCATTCATACCATAATTTGATTGCATAATAATATTCCCTAATAAATTCCCCGTCTCTGTGCCTGGGAAGACGCTTAAATTAATTTTGCCCACGTTTTGGGTGGGGCACATTTTTTATCACAACCCTGTGCTTAATTCGTATACATACATAATTTGCGACAAAGAGTGCTCTTTATCAATCAAAACTACATACATTTTCTGGATTTTAATAAAATTTCCTCAAAGTCGCAGTTATCAGAAAATAAACGAAGGCTATTTTATTGATAATAGTCATAATAGATAAAACTTTAATTTTAGATCTCCCATTAAGTTGATTATGATATTTACAAAAATTAACTAAATTATGGTTGGTTAAATTAAATTATGAAAAATTCTCAAACTTTTACAAAAGTAATTTGTAATTTTTTAATATCTTGGAAAATTGACAGAAAAATAATTAATTCAACTCTGCTTTATAAAAATTTAATTTTGTGCTACAGACATTTTGTTTGGATAATTTACCCATTCACTAATGGAGCTTTGTAACATTTAATTAATTTAATTTTAATTTTGCAGCAGTGGGGATGCGCCTGCGGGCGCTGGATGGCCGATGGCTGTCGCTGCTGGTGCTGCTGGCCGGCCAGGTCATCTTCACAGTGTATTATGTGGTGGTCGTGGCGCCCCTGAAGCCGCCCCCAGCCCAGCCCGTGGCCCCCGTCAGCGTCAACTTTGTCGACGCTCCTCTGGTCAACACCTCGTCCGGTCGAAACCCGCTTTTGTCCGCACCCGTCTATCTCAGCAGATTGCAACTGGACAGGAGAAAGTCTTTCCTCGGACTGAACTCAAGCGACTGTTTTCTGCCAGGCACTGAAGTTGACTTTTCCCAGCGCATGGGAAAATGCCAATGTCAGCCTGGCTGGCATGGGCAGGACTGCGGCCTCCCAGAGGTCATCCTTAGGTCAGCCATTATTTTAGAATAAAATTTATTTTACATAATTTATCTTTTTATCCTTTTTTCTTCTAGAACTATGATTATTTGCAAACAAAAAATTATTAGTAATTTTAATTCTAGGGCTTTCATAACAGCAAAATATACGGAGCCTCCGAAGCTTCGTCGCAAACCACGCAGGGTCCTCTGCCTAGTCCGATGGACCTCTGATACCCTGACTGAGATTCTCTTCTCCGAGCTAGACGCTGTTGTCGACCTCTTTATTGTGGACAAGAAGCCGGATGCGAAATTCAACAAAGAGAAGGTCCTGGTGCTGCAGAACACGGATTGGGCCTTTGTGAAACACCAATTGATCGACTTAAGGTATTTTCGACATATTTTTTTCTAAACAAAAAGTTGCTGATTTTAATACGGCAGGTACGACGATCTGGTACTGAGTGTGGACGACAGTGAGATCCCCAACCCTAATGCGCTGCTGTTTTTGAAGTTCTACAATGGGTGGCCATATGAGCCTATTACATTTCGAATGAGGTGGTCAGTTTTTGGCTTCTTCTGGCTGCACCCTCAGCTCACCACTCTGGCAGGAAGGGTCTGCTCTGTTGGAACTCTGGCTCGGACTTTTAGAGATGATCTTCGAGCAATGAGGTAAAATGATAATCATGCATCTTAATTGGGAAAAATAGATTCCATAATTGTTATTATTATTGTATCTTCAACCTGTTCAGCCATCAAATTGTTAAATAATTAAATTTATATTTTTAGGTCAAGCAAAGAGGTGCTGGTGGTTGGCGATCTGAACCACTTTGGCGGCTGGCGTTGTCAGCTTTGTCTGGACAGCGCCGAAGATATTCTGCACCAAGCCCAGACCTTGAAAGACCCAGCCTGGAACCTCAAGAGTCGACGGGTGGATGCCGAATACGTTTCCGAACTGGTGGGACAGGGTTTGTGGGTGGATGGCCGGACGCACCTGCTGAGGGCCAGTCCGTCCAGGGAACAGAACTATTTTGCGCCGGCTGTGGTGCGGAAAGGCAACTTTGGCCACCTTCTGCACAATTTTTACGAGCAGAATGACTATTGATTTTGACTCTTGTATTTTTTGTCAATTAATTTTTTGCATTTGCAAGTTTGAATGGACACGACTTATTTTAAAATGTTTCTCTCTCATTTTTCTGCTAATTTCAAACAGTTTTTAAAATCTACTTGCTAAATGTTAAATATTAATGCGAGGCAGAAAAGAAAGTTAATCTGATCTGTGATAAATCAAGTGTAACCATAATTAATCTGAGAGAAGAATTAAAAATTGAAACAATCAGAAGAGTGACCTCGATGTGAGGAAAAGCCTGCCAAGTGCTTGCCAGGGTTGTATCTAATTGTATGTTTAAGAATGCGACCAACGAACTTTTGTGATGGACTGAGAGTCTGGTTTTGTGTAGAGATTGAGAAAGTTGTTTGTATTCAAATCATTTGGCAGTGCACAAAAACAAGGACTGACTGTCAAGAGCTGAACTATTTGTAGGAATAATAAAAGCAAAGGAATCATACCTGAAATATAAAACGTAATAATAAAATCACTATCAAAATGATATGAAACACGGCTTGGTAATAGAAAGAATTTCCTTTTATTTTTCTCTCATGACAAAACTCACAACAGAATACATCAATGGTATCAAAAAGTTCATTTTCATAATTTCATTTTGCCACCTTTTTAAGACATATTTTTTTCCATATAATTTGTGAAAATTTACCACTTGGCTTCCAGCAGGGAATGTGTTTGATTATTGGCAGTGGACTTTTGAAAGTGCTTGTCGTGTCTCGTTGTGATATGCTCTTGCTGGGAGCCTGAAATGGCCATTTTTTTAATTTTCCTATGCACATCAAAATACCCATCATATAATTGATAGTAATTATCAACATTTTTTGGAATCCTTTTCGAGGGGTCAAACATCTTTTAATATAATTCTTCACTTACACTTTCAACTTACATAAAAATAGTTGGAACCGATCAGCTGCCACTCACATTTATTTATTTTTATATATGAAATATTCACATCTTCAACGCACATATACGTCCCCTCAATAATTAAATTACTTACAAGCTAAGTTTGTTTAAAAACACTAACTTAAATTGCACTCTCGTCTTCGGGAGTCTAAAAAACTAAAAAAAGAAACTTGGTCGTCGCATAATTTTTTTATCAATAGGCATTTAAATAATTAAAACATAAGGGGAAAAGCACAGTTTAACTTGTAAAAGAACATCGAACTCGTTGGGAAAATTTTCAATACCATCCAAAAGCTACATGGTGGATTGGGAAATTTAAGTTATCAAGTCTTTTAATTCTTTTCTGTCGTTCGGAAAGAAGTGCTTTTAATCGTTTGTGCCTCTTACACATTTTTATTTTCACCTATTTTTGGAAAAGCTGCCACAGGGCACATCGGTCGATCCCTATTAAGGAAATCAATTAACATAGAAAGCTCTCTAACGCACTGGTCGTTGCACTCGGCTCTGATACTAGATTTCTCAACCTTGAGTGAGACCATCGTAGGAAGGAATAAAAGTTGGCCAGGGCAATCTTGGAGTGGCCTTGTAAAATCCTGTCCTTGAGGGCCATCAACAAAACATTTCAATTAAATTAGGCTTTTCAAAATTAAATTCTTCTGAAGCAACATTCACTCGCCAACATCTATGACAATTATCTATTGATGGCCACAATACGAAGAGATGATGGAAAGCCCTGGCACTAGTCGATGTGTTTTCAATAATAATTATTGTCCGTTTACTAACAAAAAATGCAGTGGCACGTGGAAAGCTAGCGTCCAGCCGTCCTTGTGTGTGAGGACACCCGCCGCTGCGTTCGTCCCATCACAGACAACACACACTGGTTGCAGTCTTTTGAGATCAGCCTTGTTCAGCACCAGCTCTCCGAGCCTGGCGCCTCGAAGTTGCCTTCGCTCTCGTCGCTCGAGTGCTCCCCGTACATGTCAGCCAGTTTGCGGAAGCGCGGCCCAAAGTCGGACAGATACTCAAAGTTGAGGTCCCCGTCATCTGTACCCGAAGCCAGCGAGGAAAGCGAGCCGGTCGAGTTGCCGTCACCCTCGTAAGCATAGTGCCGCAAATTGTCCACTGGCTCGTCGCTGTTCTCTTCGTCCACCTGCCGCTTCTTGCCGTCCAGGAAGCCGCAAATGTCCGGAACTTCATCATGTGCTGAAGAAATAATAGAATTTCAAAATATTTCCCGACCAATGCTTTAAAAAATTTGTAAGGAAAAATTACAAATTTCGGATATATTGATAATTCAAATAGAAATAATTGAAATTAATGTTGCATTATAATTCTTTAAAATTTAAAAAAAAATTCCTGACCAATAATTCTTCTTTCTTTAAATAAAACGGAACTTACGTCTTGAGGAGCCAAGCAGGTCGTGGGGCTTTTTGAGGTCACCGTCATAGTGCAGTCTGAGAACATTGAGGTCATACCCTGTCATGTCACCCTCGCCGCCACCCTCATCCTCATAGTTAATGATGTTCTCTCTGATGTCATCATGGTCCTTGTACATGTCGTCACTGCGTCTCTTGTGCACAACCACGGCCAAAACCAAGACTGTAAAATACCACAAGTTTAACCAATGGACTTAAGGAAAAGAGTGAAACTTACTGAGAAGGACTGCAATGCAGACCAGAAGTGCAACCAGGAAGTTGGTGTCAATACCAAAGGTGACGGCTTGAGTCAGAATTCGGCTGCATCCAGGAGATGCATTTTTCGAGTAACTTGGTTCGCCCAAATTGTATACCTAAAGAGTTTTAGTTAGTAGATGTGTGTTTGAAAGAAGGAAAAATTTCTATATACCTTTCCGTTGAAAGTAAAATTTGAGATGCAGCCGTGGAAGCCCTTACTGGTGGGTGTGTAAGTCCAGCCCAGTTGAGCGCCGAGACTTCCAAGATTCTTCGAGGTGCCTCCGACTTGCAATGGGCCATTCACATTGAGGAATTTGTTTATTCCAGCTGGCGGCGACACACTCATGCATGTGCCCATTGTGCAGCTGTCCACAACCATTTCAAAGTTCTAAACAACAAAATTAGCATCTGGTTGATGAGTACTTTAATTCCCACTACCTCAGGGCCCCATTTGATGACGATGTGGTGGGGATGGCCATCTGCAATTTTGATTTTGTTCTGTTCAAGGGAAGCAGTGCCAGTGCCATAGTCCACAAGCAGTTTGGGATATCCTCCGGAAACCTCCAGAGACATGAAATCTGGAGAATTGTATGTTATTAATTTGCACAAATTAAATGCTTGAAATTATACCTTGAACTTTGAGTCCAGTGGAAGCAATCGGTCCAACGTAGAAAAGGAGACCATTTTCATTGTTGGCAGTCAATTCCAGAGAAATTTGCCCCCTTTCACAGGCAGCCAAAGTTGGATACCAAGCGTATCCATCTCCGCTGAAGCCAACATCAATGACCTCACACCTTGGTCCGTTGTATCCTTCAGGACACTCGCAGCTAAAAAATATTATTATTAAAATAAAAATCATTGTGAATCATTTATTATCCTACTATGGTCCAACACTGGTGCCTCCATTGTAGCAGATGTTCTCTTCCTCTATGGAGCAGACGCACTCGGCCTGCACTTCTGCGTGGACACCGACAAAACTAGTTCGATTGGTCCAAACAGTCTGGGGCCGCTCATGTTTGACCAATAAGTTCATGCAACTTGACTCGCAGCTGGACTTTTCTATCAGACATTCGTCGATGTTTACCATGTGGACTTTTCCTCCAGTCAGAGCCTCAAGCTGAAATAATGAAAGTTAATTATCAAATTCAGTCATAAAAGGTTTATAATTAAAATACCTCCAATTGATGCTCGGCCAATTTTCCATTGATCTTTTCAGGTTGATAATAGGGAGAGCTATGGGCAGAAAATCGGACATCCAGGAATTCGCCATTTTTCGAGTTCAACGCAGTAAAGACATCCACGTTTTCAACGCTGATGTTAAAGAGAGAGGCAATGTACTTGGTCAAGTCTTCCCTTTTTGAGTGCTCGATGAATTCCTCAGCAGTGGTGTTAGCAAGGCGAATGGAACCTGACCTGTCGATTGCCACCTCAGGAATCTTCTTGATCACCACTTTGACAAAAGCATCCACAGAGTGGCGAGGAATTTTAAAAGATTCTTCATAAACGACAAACTCCAAATCAAAGGTTCCTTCCAAATCGTTTTCAAATGCAGGGTTGTACATGACACTGATCTCTCCCGTGTCTTCATCCAATTGGAACTTATCCCTGTGTTCCCCACTCTTCCATCCAAATGTTTTGTCAGGCAAATCCCAATCATCCTCATCCTCAACAAAGACTCTTCCAATCACAGAGTTGCTCAAGCCCTAGAATAATATGGTTAAAAATATATTTCAAATCTTTCAATTGCAATTTACCTTGTAGTTATAAACAAAGATTTCACTACTCCCAGGTCTCATTGGATTGTCGTTTTCATCTCCAATCACAACCGTGAGAGTACTAGTGCCTGTTTGAGAAGGAGTGCCAGAGTCGGAGATCACAATAGGCACATAAAAGGTTTTCTGCTGCTCTCTGTCAAACTGTCTGATGGTCTCAATTTTGAATGAGGTGTCACTATTGCCTGTTTAAAAAGTAAAAAAAGTGTGAAAATTTTCAAAAATAAAATTATCATTTATGTTTACCAGTGACTTTAAATCCATTTCTGATATCATCAGAGGCATAGGGGTCCAATTCGTAATGGAAGGGCGGTCCATTGCCCTTCTTGTGATCGTCATTGTCTTCGGCGGTTAGTGTAGTGATGACTCCTGGATCAGTGTTTTCGGGCCAAATAACAGGCTGAGGCTGTGAATAATTACCTGAGTAAAAATGATCTTACTTTTAAAATTTTAAATATTTACCACATTCAGGTAAGGAGCATTGTCATTGATGTCAGTGAGGATTATCTCAACTTCAGTAGGAGATTGAAGACTGTTCTGCTCTCCGTCCTCATCTTTGGCGTTGATCAGGATTTGCCAGCGTTCGTAGCCATTAGGAGGGTCTCTGTCCAGTGGTTTGATGAGAGAAATGCAGCCATCGTAGTCGATGCTGAGCAGCTTTTTCTGCTCTTCTTTGACAATGTAGTAGCGAATCCTCTGTGGTTGGTCCCTGGGCAAGTCGGGGTCGTAGGCCTCCACCTTGATGATGCACCCTTCGCGCATTTCCTCCTCAGGAATGGTGACGTTGCGGTGGAATTCCAAAAACACAGGTGGCTCATCATTGACGTTCTCAATGTTGATTTGGACAAAGGCTCGATCTTCGTAGATTCCGTCAAAAGCTCGAACTTCCAAAGTGTACTGCAAAGAAATATCAGAATTTCAAATGGTGGAAAACAAAAAGGGGTTTCAAATCTTACAGAGGTGGTAGTTTCGTAGTCAAGTTCCTTGTTCACTCTGATCTTGCCTGTGTTTTTCTCAATCTTAAACTGATCATTGGGGTTGCCACTTTCAATACTGTAGAAAACCTCAGAAGCTGCAAAGTAAAAATAATTTCATCATTAGCACAGAGAACTTTTGAATTTTTATTAGAAATTAAAACACTATTAAATATATTACCTGTGTCATTATCAACTGCCCTGACTTCAGTGACCAGTGCATTCAAGTTAGCATTTTCAACAGCTTCGGCTATGTAGGTTTTCTTGGTGAATTTTGGAGGGTTGTCGTTTGTGTCTCCAATGATGATGTGGAAGGACTGCTGACCTGTGTTTCAAATGTGAGCATTAGAGGACAAAGAAAAAATGATAACTCAGTATGCATACCTTTGTTTGGCTGTCCATTCTGCAGCAGTGCTGACTCAAAGTTGTCTTTGGCGATTACTTTGATCACATAAGAGTCTTTCTCTTCTCGATCAAAGGTCACTTTGGTTGTGATGTTTCCGGTGTACTCGTCAATCTCAAAGAGATCTTGGTGGTCACCCAATTCATAAGTAACCTGAGGAGAAAGTTGAATAAGTTAAAATTTTTTTTTTTTTTAAATAACAAAACCTGTAAAAATAGGTACTTTCTCGTTGATATGAAACAATAATTACTATTCTTTACTGACCTGATTGTACTTGTAGGTGCCATCAGCGTCGAAAGCCCTAACCTGCATGACAGGCGCTCCAGGCAATTCGTGCTCAAGCACCGTGCCAGCAGCAACGTCCCTGAAAATCGGGATGTTGTCGTTGACATCTTCGATGGCAATGTTGAGCACCGTCTCAGCTGCCAAATTGTACTTGTTCTGCACTCGAATCGTGATGACATATTCGGTGATTCTCTCATAGTCAAGTTGACCGCCCAGCTTCAGGTAGGCCGATTCTCCTTCTGACTCAAGCAGGAATGTGTTCTGCTTGTTGGTCTGCTCGGTGCGTCCCGGCACAATGGTGAATACAAGTTCCCGCTCAGGAATGTTGGATTGGGCCTGGAAGGTGGCCAAAACTTGTCCATAGTCGTTGAAGTTCTCCTGCAGCATCAACGGGCTCTCGGGGATCTTTGTGTATGAAGGTGGTTTCTTATTTGAGTCCACAACTACAATTTCCAGTTCAGTAGAGGAGCTCTGAGAAGGTGTGCCCTGATCAGTTGCTGTTGCATTCAGGCGGAAAACATGTGGCGGTTTGATCTGAAAAATAAAATGAATACAATTAGTTCAAAAATTTAAAATTAAAATTGTTGATAAATACTAGCTAATCGACTTCCTTGATTTCTGAAAATTTTTATTGAAATAATAACGTGTCGTCAAAATTTCAAGATAAAATACAAATATTTTTTTCTGAAAATTTCATTAATTTTTATTTATTTTTTATTTTGAAGACCAAAAATCACCAGAAAGTTATTATTGGATTTTTGGTTTTATAACAAGATGGCAAATATTCAGAAACAAACTTTGAAAACTGAACGTATTTGCTCTTCTGGTACTTGATAGCTATCAGAACTTCTCTCATACAAGGCCACTAGCAATCAAAAAGTTCAAGAGTCAATTCCCTAGTAATTTGATTCTGATTTTATCCACATGACACTCACATCGATGGTTCTGTTGAGAGTGATGACGCCGGTGCTGCGGTCGACGCGGAAGTAGCCGCGCTCCTCCTCCCTAATGGGGTGCAACTCATACTCGACGATAGAGTTTTTTCCGTCATCAATGTCCGTGGCCGAAATTCGCATCACTTCGGAGCCAGGTCGCATATCTTGAGGCACAGACTCGCGGTACACCTGAGGAGTTTTAAGAAAAACGCCTTGCTTTAGAAAACCTATTTTTGGAAGGGATCTTTTTGACAAAGCAAATCAATTTGCAAACAGCGCTAATCTAATCAAACCAGAGAGTGAAATAAAGTAAGTTTTTAATAGAAAAATGTGCTGCTTGACGGTGAAATCTGCAATATGACTTTGTGGCTTTGGTGAATATATTGGTGAAAAGTGAAAAAAAAATCTAAAAATTACAATAGGAAATTAAATTATGTTTCAGGTTGTTTCAGGTGATTTCAGGCTAACTAAATAACTTGAAAGAAGGTTTTGGAATGATAAGAATAATACTCAGCAATGGAAGAATCTAAAAACCAAATAATACAAAAGTCAATTATTTTCAGATTTTGTTATGTGAAGTAGAGGATTAATTTTAAGTGCATGCAGTCCATGCATTTAAGGTGCCAATACAATAATTTTGTAATCCAACCTTCCAATATGATCCTCGAAATACCTAGTAAAGCACAAGACCAGTGTTAGTCAAAGTTCGGAGGTTAGTCCATGGTTAAATTCTACTTAAGAAATTTATTTAGAAGTTCCCATTCATAATTATGAATTATCTCTTTTTTCAGACAATACCGTTTTTTCCAAAAGATCTCAACTCTAACAGCACCCCTGGCTGAGAGAACCCAAAAATGGGGAAATATACTCACTCCTTTGTCGAAAACTGGCTTGTTGTCGTTTGTGTCTTCGATGGTCACCTTGATGACGCACACGTCGTCCAAAGGTGGCTTTCCATTGTCAGTGGCGCGAACGGTGATGAACGCTTCTTTTTCGCGCGTCGGCTCGTCTCGGTCGAAAACCTTTGACAAATAAATTTGAAATAATTAGAACAATGAAATATTTGATAACTTCATTTCGTCTGGAAAAGTTCAGCTCGTTAAAGTGTCTCAAGTCTCAACAGCTTGCCAAGTTGTGTAAGTTTTGCCAAAATTAATCGACAGACAAAATCTTCCCGCAAAAAGTTTTGCAATCTGCGCCAATGTAAGAAAAAAAACAAGCAAAATTTGCATTTGCATATCTCGAGGACAATTAAAATGGGACCCAAATAATATCGGGGAAGTTTGAGAGCGCGCAGTGCAAATATTAGCATTTTGTAATAGAGGACGTGAGCATTCGCAGCAGATTTGATAGCGACCGGCAGCGGGCGGGGTATTTCCTTTTATTAAGTGGCGCGGACAAAAGTTGCCAACTTAATAAGCTTTTGGAAGGGGAGTTGCAAAGAGGGGGTGCAAATTTTTGCCCATCGCGAATGAAACAAACTTTCTTGCGCTCAAATTAAAACGCCACTCAAAATGAAGCGACGACGACTCTGCCAGATGGAGAGGAAGGAAAAAAATCCTAAAAGCAGAGCCCGGACCGAACGGTGGCGGAATATTTTAATTTCTCTCAATCTGCTTTCCGCAAGTTTGCAGACGAAGAAAAGCAATTGCATTGCGTTCGCCGAGTTTCCTCAAGGGGCTTTAATTTTATAGAGATCGACTTTGATCCAATCCATCACGACTGAACGACCGCGCACAAGAAACTTTTGGCCCTGCAGGAATCGCAGGAATTTTCAAAGAAAACCCATCAATCTACGTTCTGCCTGATCCCACGCAACATTCAAATGTTAAAATCATTTTCTCTTTGAAACATTAAAAAACTAAGCGAAGATTGCCATTCTGAAGAGTAAGAAAGAATTTTGTTGCGTAATAAAAATCTAAATAACTTATCTAACAACTGATATTGCTACGTTAGCTTGAAAAATAATTTACAAGAAATAAACAGCCTCCAGCGTAAATAAAAACTTCTTGCAACAAAAACAAAATGTGTGTTGAGGAGAAAGGCCGAGGTTAACGTTGAAACTATAAAAGTTTGCATGACGCCATAAATTTATAGACCAAGAACAAAAGTTTATATAATATTTGGATTTGCTATGCTGTAAGAAAAATTGCTGAGGGAACAAAATCGTACCTGTCTGGTGGTGATTTCGCCTGTTTTGTTGTTGATGTTGAACTTTTGGCGCTCGCCCGGCGACACAATGAAGGTGTAGGTGATGGTGTCGTCTGGGTCGCGGTCCTGGGCCTGCACGGTGAGCACCTTTGTGCCAGGCTCTTCTTCCTCCTTCACGGACGGTGTGTACTTAGGGCAGTTTGAGAACACCGGCTTGCGGTTGTTGTGGATCTCTGCCTTGCCCCAAAGAGGCGTCCCTGGTGGCTAAAATAAAAACATAAGGGTTATTGCATTTATTTTACTTAATAAATTCAGCATCAAAATTTTTCCGGTTAAAAAGTTTGTACGTGGAAAAAGATTTTCTTTAAACGCAGAGATAAGTTTCAAGTCTTAATTAATAGAGGGAGGCGCAAATAAATTAGTTGATCTCTCCGTCTCCGCACAAGTGGTGTCCGTCGATTAGGGCCGAGGGTAAATTTATTCTCACAGGCGAAATAAGAGCAATTAGACCCTTATTCGCACGCACAACGAAATTAGTCTCCAGTTTAATCCCCTTGGGAGAGGCCAAGGTCGGACGGCTGTGAGGGCGGATCAAAAATCCTTACACTCACTTGGTGCGCGCATTAATTATTTCATTAGCCTTGTGCATAATTTATTAGGCCTGTCTCGTTAACGGCTTCAATTATTCACACAACTTAACCGCACCGGTCGATGGACGTGTCTTGGTGGGAAAATGTCAATAATATATTTAAATTTTGTAAAAAAAATCCTTCTTTATACAAAAACAAATATTACACTTTTTTTTCTAAATTTTAAAATTTCTTGCTTAAAAGGTTGGAGATTATCTTGATTGTATTTTTTTTCAAGTTATGAAACGTCGTGTATTATTTTGTAGGCACTCTTATTTTTCTTTCCTCTTTTATAAGTCAATTATGGCGAGTCCACACTTGCCGGCTAAAAACTTTCATCATAAAAAATTGATTCGACAACAAACGGTATTGTGTTAATTCCGACTCTTGACTCGCCCCGAGAGACTTTTAAGAGTCTCATTCTTTCCTCTCTTCGGCAGCTGTGTGCAAATTCAGGCCTTTTCCGTTGCTCTTTGTCGCGCGCGAAACGCCGCCAACGAGAGAGAGAGAATGATGAAGAATTCATTCGGGCCGGAGACAATATGGTCTGAATTTACACAACGAAATGGGACTTTGACTTCTTGCGGGGCAAACTTGCACCTGCGAAATAATTCAGCGTGCGCCGAAAACACGCTTGGCCCGGCGAGCAAAAGAAAGGCGCAGAAAAAACACGTGCTTTTCTATTCAATGGGACTTTTGACGTTGGCACAATTTCTTTTCAGATCTGGGATGAGTTTTAACAGGGCGGGCGACTCGGTATCAATTATGAAAATTCGCCGGCTGATGTGGAGATTGGGGTTGCAGGCCTCGGGGGATGCGAGCGCAAATAGCCTCGTTTTCGGTCCCGCAGGATATTGGACGGCAGCCACAAAAGATTATCGAATTAAATTGTTATTGGTTTGGCCAAATCCGTGTTGCCTCTCGCACTCGGCGCAAAGCTGAAATGAAAAACACCCTCGCCAAACGCGCGCCAACCGGGATCAAAGGCGAATTTCCCTGAGTGGCGAGACACACAGAGAGCGCGAATTCCAAGGGACCCTTCCATTATTAGGCAAATTTCATTTGCTATACTTCAAAAAGCAATGCGAGTTTGATGGAAAATAGATAGTGGGGCTGCGAGGGATAAAAGGCGAAAGTGTGCGAATAAAACTCCAGAGGTTTGGAATTGGAAAAGTCAAACGAAAAAAGGAATTCCGACCTATTTTTAGCAGATGGGTTGAAACACGTGATAAATTATGTTTTATTTGTATTAATAGTAATGAAAATAACCAATGAAATTATTTTAGTCAAATTTCAAAACATTTCAAATGGTCAGTTAAATGAAAATTGGCTCTGATTCAGCAAGGCCCCGCTCGGATTGTCATTCCAGGCGATCGAAAAACATTTATTCATTTGGCGCTAAACGGTGCACTCGTCACCAGAGGCAGAAATGACGTAGATTTGCGACCGTTTAACGCGCGGCGACGGCGGCCCCCGAACGCCATTCAGCTTTGATGAAGCGAACGACGCATCCGAGCCAAAAATGATCGATTTTTAATAATCACAAGTGCGACAAACAAATCCTCTCGCGACCGACACAGGCCAGAGGGCCAGAGATCGACGGCCAAAATACATATTTGCGAAAACACGGCAGACTAACAATTAATTAATCCGCACGAGCGAGCAGTTGGGTGATTTGGAATGAGCAAACAATCGCATCCACAACGACAAACTTATTTCCCCGGACGCAAATCGCTCTTGCAAACAAATTTTAGTCTAGGGAAAATTGGAAATTATTACTCAGAAAAAATATGTCCACTTGCTTAAATTAGAATTTTATAAATTGGGTGAATTTGCTACGAGGAAATCGGTATGCATTAAAAATTAGAATAACAAATCTCTAATAAAAATTTGCAAATAATGAAAATTAATTTTTTTTCTTTTTAATTTTGAGGTAGAATCTCACGGTTGAGGGTTGATTCATGATGATTTGTTTTAAGTTCAACATATTTTCCCCTTTAATCTATACACACGGAAAATAAGACGGCGTAGGTGAGAATTTTAGGACCCAGACGCACCGGGGCTGCGAGCCAAAAAAGGCACGTGAGAAAATGCATACCTTGTTGAAGCTGTTGAAGTAGTCATCCTGGGCTGGGTTGGGGCCGTGATTTCCGCTCCTGCCGCTCAAGTGTCTCGAGTGTCGCAGTTTCGAAGCGTGCCAAACTCCACCGCCAACGCCGCTGCCAAATCGATCTGCGAAAACAAAAAACATGACAAATTTATTTTTTGCATGGACAAATAAAAACGCTAATTCTGCGGCGCGCACACGCCGCAATCAATTTGGGTTCATTTTTCAAAATAATGTTTGTTTGCTGAAAGCTTTCTGCAGTTTTATTATTGAAAATGGAAAGCGCCGGCGGCTGCAAATGGGATTCCATTATTTATCGTGGCCGGCCAAAAACCGCAATCATCGCTGGAATTGAAACGCGCGAGCTTTCACGCCCAGCCACTTTGCAAGATGACGCTTTTTCGGTTTTTCGCCCATCATCCGCGTTTCAACAGGGAAGGAACCAAGTTTTAATTGGAAATTAATATCGTCGGTGCGAGCGTGTGCTTTGTGTCCGCCGCAAGAGGAAGAGCAACATTTGTTTGGTCTTTTGTATGACAAGGGCTTAATTAATGTGGCGACGAAAGCGCACGCACCCTGAAAGCAGCCGCCGCCGCAAAGGAAGCCCCAGAGAATTTCAATCTTGCACAGGTCAAATTGGGAGCCACAGTTTACGCAAAAGGGAAAAGCCGGAGGTGCTTGGGGCAAATTTTACTACAAAAACCACCACACCACGGAAAAGGGCTAAAATAATTTGTCCTATACCATCTTTGGCAGAATTTGTCATTATTCATTAACATTCATAATTTTATTTTATCAGAATTTCTATATCTTGAAATGAGCATGTAAAAAACTCAATAAACACTCTAAAAGTTAAATCAATTTTTGTTATAAAATTCTTGAAATAAAAGACGAAATCTTTTCTTCTTCTTCTTCTTAATAATTGCAAATTTATGAAGTGCAATCAATTTTTCAGATTAAATTTCTAAATTTAAAAATAAAAAATAGCCTTAACCCTGACGAGATTTGAATTGAATGAAGGTTGCCGTATCTTTATTCAGCAATATATGAAATAAAAGAAGCCTCGCTGAACGTTGGTTTTCAAGGCACCTCAGCTAGACTTAAGCCGCTGAGTAGTTCTTGCACATCAGTTTTCGGCGAGCAAACAGAGCTGGGTCAACTATCAGAAACTTCTATTCGAAAACTAAATTAACTTCGCTCTCTTACGTGTTGGTTGTGTCCCAGCAGTTTCAATATTTGACCAGACGCAGTAGGTATTACACGGCGGCGTATATATTAAAATCGATTCTCGGCGGACCGAAATAATATTCATGCATATAAGGGGCACTTCGAACACAATAGTGACCTAATACGCAGTTTTAATGCCCGTCAATTTCATCCCTGATTTACAATTCTCGTCGCTCTCGCGAGATAGTAGTAAAAGGTCGTCATCGCCGCCGCCAAGAGACTCAAGCAACTTTTTATGCCTAATGAGATTCTTTTACAACTGCACCGTACAATTTACGACCGCGTAATGCCGGCCCCGAGATATGAATACATTAGAGAGGCCCTCGTTGTGTTTTAGCCCTTTCATCACTTTTCGGCTCGTTTTACAGAAATTTTGACCGTTTACACTCTTCATACGTGCTACGCTAGTGGCGCCTCTGGTGCCGGCGAATCACAACGTTCAATTTGTACATTCAATTAGATGCTTGCAACGCAATCAGAGCGTATTTTCCATTCAATTTTGAAACTCAAAGCAACCGATGACAAAGCGAGATTCTCTTATTCTCTCTTGTTATTTTTCGATTCCGCGCCACTTGTTTATTCCTCAAGATTCGCTTCGATCACGAACGAATAAATTAAATTCGCCCGTTGCGCCCAAGAATACAAATCGCCGCGGAAGGATTCGTCGCTCTTTCTTTCTTTCTCATTCCAAGTCGAGGCAGATAATCAACTTGTTTTCGGTGCTGACGCGAGGAGGAAAAAAGAGGCGAAGTGAAAATTTGAAAAGGTGCGAGGGCGGAGAACGGCGCGGATCGATTGTCTGATTTAATTATTATTCAAAGTCGCGCTCGCTAATTTTTTTGCCACACCTGCCCTCTTTCCGAGCTGTACATTCAAAAAAAGGGTTGCTACAAATAGCGCCTTTTGAGGGGGTTGAAACAGTATATCCAACTTTGAAGGGTCGATTCAAAGGGGACAAAGTGCGTTGAAAAGTTTTTGTGGAGAACTAAAAAATTTACATTTTGGTTGGACCCACTTTTCTGCTACTGGAATTCTAATTTTGAAGCTCAAACTTTATAAATAGAATATTCAAGCACACAAATAATGAAATTTTTTAAATCGAGCTGCTGGGAATACGATCGTTTACCGAAGTGTCACGTATAAGACTAACGATTTCCCACAATAAGTTTTGGCAATAATCGCAGCGGCGGCAAATTAGCTTCCCGTCGCAAGATCGGCCTGGGAAAATGAGAAAAAGAAAGAGTCGCGAGCGAAAGCAATAAAGACACCGAGCGAGCAAAATTAATTTCCCCAGCTGCCCAACGGTTATTATTGTTATTTTCGGTGTGGAAATATGGCACGTACGTGACACGGACGCATCTTTCTTGTGCAGCTAAGGCGAGCAGTCGAATTAATTCGGCGGCGCCTGGTCGAGAATTAATGCTTCTCTGGCGTGCTCTTGGAAATGCAAATGCGCCCGAGGAAAAAATTCGACTCTCGCATGTCGATATGCTGAATAATGAATTTTTTCCCTCCGCCTTTTCCTGTGCAGGGAAAAACGTCAGCATCGAACTCTTTCTTCTTTTTCTCTCTTGATGGAATTTACCCAGATTCGGAAATGAATTCCGATCGGCGCTCGGCGATAAATTTTTTCCGAAAAAGTCAACCAGAGAGGGTGAATTAGTAAAGAGACCCCGCGAATTATTAATTGGCTTGGTTTGAGCGCGCGAAAAAGCGTCTCGCGGGACACGGAAAGGCAATTTGGCGCGGCGGCCGGAAAAAGCAGTCGCTTTACGACGCACGCATCAAACTTTGAAGCGGCTGTGAAAATAAAATAAAAGCTGCGTTTACACCCAGAGTTAAAAAAGAGCCGTACTCACTTAGAACGTGTGGTGCGATTTTTAACTCTAGCACCGCAGAGTTGCAATCTCGAGTGTTTCTTTTTTTTCCGTCGATCAAGTGCTTTTGCTATTTTTAACTCATCAGCGCTTTTCTAAACGAACTCCATCCTCTCATACGTGCCGGGAGGCGAAAAATAATGTTATTGCACGCGCGGAGAGAGAAGAGAATGAGGAAAGCATAAGCTTGGAATATTAGATTATGGCGAAAAATCATATTCCATTAAGAGGGTGCTTCAAAATCAAAGGTAAGGGTCATAAATAAATTTTCCAAGAAGAGATTTCATAATGGGAAAATGTTTGCTGAATCGATTTCTGGGGCAGTTTTAACTTCCTGCGCCCTTGTTTAGGGATTTATGTAAATATCAGAATATTCGTTTTTTATTAAAAAATTTGAATTAAAATACATTATTTGGTTCCATATAATTTGATTTTGGCCCCCCTGCTGAAATTATTTTTGTCCAAATTTTTCATGAAAAATATAACATCTTTACAAAAAACATACTACATTCAATTGTTGAAATTAATTTATGATAAAAGGAAGTTGGACAAAACGGCAGAAACACTAGCAAGAATTTGCTACAACTTCCGAGATAAAAAAAACCCCATCCGTTGTAATGTTAGTTTAAAATTTGTCATACATTACTAAAAATATATTTCTTTCCAATGATGAGTGAATTATTTTGTATAAAAGTGAGATTTGTATTGGAAAAAATCAATTTCAGGGACACAAAAGCACATTCGTCTCCTCATCTTTCAGCTTCCTCCACACCCCGCAGAGATTTTATTCCATTTTCATTTCACAGCTTCGTGGAAATAAAAATCAGACCATTTGGCGAAAATGGGGTGGATTCCAGGACTACGATATAAATAAAAATGAGCGTGGTGGTGATAATGGAGCTGCTTCCTCGCTCAGGTAAAATTTATTTAAGGCGAGAAGGAGGTGCCGCTTGCGATAAAATATTGACGACGTCGTCAATATTTGAGAGCAGACGGAGTGTTCGCTCGCTTTATATTTTAGATCAAATATGCAGCGGAGATCGTCGCCGCACAAGCCCCGCGAGGCGTTTGCGAATAATTAGCCCGCACATACGATTATTTGGAAAACAAAGCGATCGATGCGTGTGTTCACGTCGCAAACTGCTGGACGCGCATTAATTATTTTGCTCGGCTGGCTGACACAAACATCCAGCAGGCAACGAGCAAAACACGACCAGGTCAGCCAAATAAGCAAACCCGAATGGTCCGTGTCAAGTGCAGCAATCCTCGCGCGGTGTCAAATACGCACAGCAGGCTGAATTTCCACCAGTGAGACGCACCTGAACTCGAGGAGCAGGAAATTGTCGTTTCGAAATTCTAGCGCGAGCCGAGTGAGAGAAAATGCGATCTGCTCTGGAAACGTTTCGAAACGGGCGTGCATGAGTAATGGAGATTGTTCGCAGGCACAGCAGACGTTTCGCGTGAGCTTTCCACGGAATTCCTCGGCGCAAAAACGTGCCATCGGTGCGCAGAGCACTTGAAATAATGGAACTTGAACAGCACTGTACTGTTAGTCTGCTCGTTGCGAACAAAGGACGCACGGCCCAGAATGGTTTTCACCAAATTGGTGTCTAAATTTGGGCGCTGCCAAATTTCCATATCACAAAGGGCAGCTGAATGTCAGCTAAAAAACGTTTTGAATTAATTTTCATTTTTGATACTGTCAATTTTTATTTCCTGAAAAAGCAGCTTTCCACTTTTTACAACAAAATCCCTTCATCTCTTTTTAAACTGGAAAATAATTTAAGGATTTAATAAAAATCACAAAAAACAGACTAATTAAATGCCCCTTAATTTCTCTAAACGTCGAGATAAAAATTTGGCCCTTAATAAAAGTCACAATTTAACAAATTGAGGGTCGTTGCGGTGTTCAAAGTTAAAAAGCCTTTCCTGGCCTGGCCAAATCTTTATTCTTCCCTCGGCAGCGGTCGCATTTTCCCTCAGAGGCCCCTTCCCGGCAAACTTTACGGACTTTCTTTCTT